AGTGGTTAAAGCGTTAACTCGTCACGCCGAAGACCCGGGTTTGATTCCCGACATGGGTACAATGTGTGAAGCCCATTTCTGGTGTCCCCTGCTGTGATATTGCTGGAATATTGCTAAAAGCGGCGTAAAACTAGACTCACTCGCTCACTGTTACGGTAGAGTTTAGATGAAGTTTTACATTACAAAACAATAGAGCAATAAAAAAATGATGAAACATCAGAAAATATTTTATATTTTAAGTTACAATGGCTTAATAATCGTGAAACAAAATAACTTATATATTTATCTTATGCATGTTACATCTTCGAGTTGAGAGCCTGACATGTGTTTCTTTAGTCCAATCAAATCTGCTATCTATGCAAGACATCTCTCACCATGATCTATCACAATGTAGTATTCACATAAAGATGATTGATTTAAGAACTGACAAAATCACAGGATTCGTTTAACTGCTTTAAACTAGAATACTGTTAAAAGCGGCGTTAAACCCAACTCACTCACTCACTCACACTCACTCACTCACTCACTCACTCACTCACTCGTATCCTACAGTTAATCTGTAACGACAGATTGATATGAAAGAATCGTTGGTTCCGAAACGTGTGCCGGATACACAGTTTGCACAATGTGTTGCGATCAAGCAGTTTGTACTCGACTGTCATGACTGGTCAAGTAAGGTTTGTTCTTATGATTTTATGCAGTCAAATTTAGCATTTTGTTCCGTTATACGCTGAAAGGTAATGCTACTACTAGCTCATGTGGCCAGTGAAGATCTGGGGTAGAATAGGTCTTCAGCAAGCCATGCTTGCCGTAAAAGGCGACTATGCTGGTCGTAGGAGGCGACTAGCGGGATCAGGTGGTCAGACTCGCTGACTTGGTTGATGCATGTCATCGATCCCAGTTGTGTGGATTGATGCTCATGTTGTCAATCACAGGATTGTCTGGTCCAGACTTGATTACTTACAGACCGCCGTCATATAGCTGGAATATTTCTGAGTGCAGCGTTAAACAACAAACAAACAAACAAACAAACAAAACTAGCTCATGTTGTCAGTTATTGCAAAATGTAGCAAATACTAATTTCTGAAAATTGATACAGAATTCAAACAAGATCATTGGAGGATCATGACAACACAAGCTGCAATAGTTGACTGCCTCTGATAGCAGCCCCTAGCGGGCCTGATGTCGAGACTAATCAGACATGATGATCAGTGAAAGTTCTGTCAGCATGAATAATATCATAAATGTATGTTGAATTTATTAACTTGAAGGCTGGGGTTTGTTTTTCTTTTTTTGGGAAATTAACATATGTTCATTGTAAATATGCATATCTATTTGTTCTACCTGCAGGTGTGAAAAGATCAAAGGTGATATGTTATTTCTGATTTGTAATTCATAAGCATGGTAAATACACCTATTGACATGATTGATGAGTTCATCAAACCCTAAGGTCCTTGGTAACTAGTATTTCTTTCAGCTTGTAGTTGATTTACCTTGGTCTATTTATTTTCGAGCCATGGGGACTCTCACCAATAACTTTAGGTATTTCAAGACATTAACATAAGGATTCCAGGCTGGCCACATATGGCAAGCTTCAGTTGAGTGGGTGAGTGAGTGAGTTGGGTTTAATGTCGCTTTGAACAGTATTCCAGTTGTGTCACGGCGTGTCAGCTTGATGTGGGAGAAAAAAACCCAAGTGATGCATGTCTCAGATGTTTACCACTTTGGTGAAACCCATGAGCATGGGTATGGTGTTGAAACCTAGAAACCTAATCGGGACAAACAGGGATTCGAACCCATTATTATGAGTTTCTGGGGTCGTGTCCAGGGGATGCAACTTAGATGACAACAATTGTGGCGCCTTAGATGACTGGATCTTACTCTTCACTTGATTTTCAAGAATTTTACCGATTCCAATGTTTTGATTAGAAAATACAGACACATTGAACTTTGAGTGTATTACCAGAATTGAATTGTCACTTATATGTGTCAATTATGTAGTCTACATTTTTGATTGGTCGTACTATGTCCCCAGAGTTCAAAATGTAAATCATTTGCATCCATCCTCAATATATCATGATATATATGAGTATAGGATGTGGTATTTTGAATACAGTATAACCCTTCTTGATCATGTTGCTTGCATAGTGTTGCAATTGCTTGGTTACTAAGGTTTAGGGTTATTTATTCATCTAACAAGTTTTTACAAGTTTCTACATCACTTCTTGACTTTCATACCTGTCTAAATCAAGAATAATTAGGGTTCAGAGTGTGGAAATGATAAATTGTCTGCCACAAAGAGAACATTGCAAAATGGGTTTTTTATTTATTTTTATTTAGGCTCATACTTGTAATTTATCACATCTGTGGTTTTGTAGCTGTGGCTGAAAAATATCTAGTCTCCATACCTTCTGTTTTGTTTTCGGTTCTGTACACTTCTCTAATAATGACTGGTGTCAGAGCTCGAGATAAGCTGCATATTCGCGTAAAATACACATTAAATCAACTGAAATATGCAGACACATCAAATCCTAGCGTATCAAATACACGACAAAAACTATAAACATGTTAAATACGCTATTGAAATAAAAATAATGCGTATATTAAAACTATTAGAGAAAACGACTGCGTATAATACAACAGTTAGATAAAATGATTGTTCAACAGCCGATCACCAAATTTACTTTCAGACAGTTACATTCGGAAAGAGCTTCTGTGGGAAACATACTGATGGAGGCAATTGAGAAGCACATCATACCTAGTCAATGTACATGTTGTATCTTAATAAGTCGCTGATTGGTAATTATAACAATTGCACCTTTCTCAAAATGCTAGGTTTTGTAAATAAAAATGACTTCCCGAGAGGGAGCCGTAAGCAGATGCAGACGGGTGTACAACTATTCACATAGTTTTAAATGATTTAAGGGTATTGTTACGAAACAGGTTTTAAGTGAAATACCCAACTGTCAAGAAACATATGGGTAAAAAAAATTGAATACCCTCTAAAATTTGTGGATACCCAATCAAAATCAAACCCCTGGGTAAAATACTCAAATAACCAAAAGCTCATCCAGAGCTCTGTGGTGCTGTGATTGTGTACAAGTGAATGAAGTCACCAGACATTTCCTGCTTCCTTCCGGGCTGGCTCTGTAGCGCAGTATGTTCAGGTTTCATGTTGCCAAGGGAAACTATAACACTGGTGCATTCTTATAACAGTCGGTGACTTCTCCACCACTCCAAAACCAGAGTCGTCACCTGATTTGTGACCCTGTGACGTGCCAGCACTTATAACCAATAACTACGCATCTTCCTAACTGAGTGAGTGAGTGAGTATGGTTTTACGCCGCTTTTAGCAATATTCCAGCAACATCATGCGGTCAGTTATGACGTTATCATTAGTATTTACCTCTTGCAAACATAATAAACATGATAAATTCTTACATGTTGAAAGGGAAGTATTGTTTATATGTCCTTGTTGATTATAAGTTAAATATGAATATACAATAGCAAACTGTGTGTTGGGCATTTTATTTCCCTGTCGGTAGACCAGAAACACGAATAATTGATAATTTGAACAAAATGAAATGATGAATATGAATTAAGTCTATCGCAACCGTCATCTCTCTATATTTGTGTAATATCCCGAGCTTTGTTCCCTTTTTGGAGCAGACCCCATAGTTTCATGAAAAATATTTCCTTATGTTCTATATATCTCTCTATATCAGTCTGTCTGCAGTGTGTATTTCTCCTGATATCATCATTTCCTTGTGTACAATGGTGATCATGTTGGTGATATGTTTGAGATTTTGCTTGTAGTTTTCAGTAACCATGATAACCATGGAAATATATGTATACACATAAACACAGGTAAATATATAATGAGATCAGATAATGTGGCCATTTTCGCCCATTACATTTTTCCATGTATCATGTATATCAACGTGATCAATATGAAATTTGATTGGCAGGAATCATGGTAATCTATAAGCATGAAAAGTTTTCTTTTGAAATGAACACCCACTTACTGAATCACTCACTGATGTACCTAGGGATTTATCTGGGATTTCTAACTCAGTGGCTTTGGAAGTCACATTTGTTCAAAATTAGGATTTATTTTAAGTTTTATTATTTTCGAAGGTATTTTATCTTTATATGGCATTCAATACAATAACATTAAGCCTCTTTCTTATGGTTTTGCTATCAGTGGAATACAAGTGCCCTCGGCCAAGCCATTTGTTGTAGGGGGGTATGGTTGGACCGGTTGTCTTAGAAAAAGGCACATAATTCCTTGGGCTTTCCAGAAACTAATCGTGAGTTTGAGTCCTGGTTTGCCACAATTATGTTTGTAGATTTGTCAGTACCATATCCGTGCTCATGAGTTTTGCCGTCTGAAACTTGCATCACTTCGGGCTTTCCTCCCACATTAAACTGACACCCTGTAATGTAACTGGAATACTGGTAAAACCAACTCACTCACTCATTACTTATGACTTTATTATTCCCCCATTTTGAACAATGGGGGGATATAGTGATCAGCATGTCTGTCTGTACATCTGTCATTCCGTTTCCAGCGCAGAACTGGTGTCTTTTGATGATTTGGGAGTCATACTGAATTGCACCAGACCAGGGGAATATGTAATATGTAATGTAATGTAAACGCTTGTTTACGTTAAAATAGGAAATTTTTAATTCCCATTTTAGAATTTTTACTGAAAATTCCTGCAAAATTGCAGCTGAATATCAGGCGTCTGAGCAGGTCTAGACCTCTGCACCTTTCATGTATAATAAATATATGTCAGCACAACACAATGTTATCAGTGGAGTTATCATGGTTATGCACAGATTTCTTACTCTGGTAAATTGTTCCTCATTCACAGACTACCAGGGTGCCTAGGGAGCATGCTAGAACCTCTTTAAAGTATGCCAGTCACTATGGAATTTCTTTCAGGAACTGTGACAAAATGAAATGGATATTATTTAGTTTGATTTTTGTTGTGCAGGAATCAAGTGCCCAGTGTGTTCCAAGTTCATTCCTCCAGATGATATAGAGTGTCACCTTGTCATCTGCCTCACCAAGCCAAGAATAACCTACAATGGTAAGACAACCACTTGTCCTTGACCTCTCTATTGGGTGTCCCAGGGGGATTCTGCAGCATAGTAGGACCCCAGTTTCACTTCGATGTCGTTAGAGTAGATCGTTGAGGATCAGGGTCCCGTTCCACAAAGCAATCCTAGAGCTAAGGCATGAGTCTAGGTTATAGGAAGGGAGTTTCGATCATCTTGGAGCTACAAATGTCTCAAGTCTATGTTAAAGTGTGGGAGTTACGATCATCTTTGAGCTTCGACTGTTGCAAGTCTATGGTAAAGTATGGGAGTTACGATCATCTTTGAGCTACGACTGTCTCAAGTCTATGGTAAAGTATGGGAGTTACGATCATCTTTGAGCTACGACTGTCGCAAGTCTATGGTAAAGTATGGGAGTTACGATCATCTTGGAGCTACGACTGTCTCAAGTCTATGGTAAAGTATGGGAGTTACGATCATCTTTGAGCTACGACTGTCGCAAGTCTATGGTAAAGTATGGGAGTTACGATCATCTTGGAGCTACAACTGTCACAAGTCTATGGTAAAGTATGGGAGTTACGATCATCTTGGAGCTACGACTGTCGCAAGTCTATGGTAAAGTATGGGAGTTACGATCATCTTGGAGCTACAACTGTTGCAAGTCTATGGTAAAGTATGGGAGTTACGATCATATTAGTGCTGATATGGCTTTGTGGAACAGGACTCAGGTGGGTGCAGGAGTCACTTGGCTGATTGTTTGTCATAGTACAGTTTGGATTGTTCCTCATGTTTTCAACAAGAAGTGACTCCCATTATTTTTTTAAGGTGGAGTTACCCACACACCACACCATTTTACAGTCCACCCTCATATAACTAGAATATTGCTGAGTGCAGTGTTAAAAAACAAACCAACAACAATGTAATATAGCTTCAAAAATTCTGACTGCTGTGTAAGACAACATTTGCTCAACATTGTGTATTATCACCCCAGAGCTAATGATAATGACAAACAAACATTCAGTACACCCACTCACACATAGCTGTTTCTTTCCTCATGGGGATTCCAGGCTAATCTAGTATCAAGTACATTGTAGCTCATGCTATTTGTAAAAGCCAGCTCTGAATAACATTTGCTCAATATCGTGTATTATCACCACACAGCTGATGATGGATAATGACAAACAAACACTGTACACCCACCTACATCATGGCCGTTTCTTTCCTCATGGGGATTCCAGGCTAGATTAGGTTTCCAGTACATTATAGCTCATGCTATTTGTAGAGGCTAACTAAATGAGTACTGAACTGGCTAATTGTTTATCACCATACTGCAACAATGTAAATAAGTGTCCATACTGTTAGCCACCAGATTGCTTGTCCCTCACTGGGTTTTGTGCTATAGAAACTCCCCTATAGTTAAGGTATCATAAGGACTGGTAGAAATTTGCGATTTAAAGGGTTTTGCTATGTGTTATCATTATAAGAACTAGTGGGCTGAAACTGTTAGTTTCTAACGCTGATTATTCAGGCTGTAGGGCTGGGACAAGTCCAAACAAGTATCATGTAGGTCTCATAAAATCGGTACAAAATGTCCAATTGGGAATTGTTTGACCATAGCCCTGGGAAAAAAGGATTTAGATACACATATCAAATGATCTGGCCTTGCATACACTGAACTTTGTTTGTTTGTTTGTTGTTTAACGCCGCACTCAGCAATATTCCAGCTATATGATGGTGGTCTGTAAATAATCGAGTCTGGACCAGACAATCAATTAGGATACGATGACATGCATCAACCAAGTCAGTGAGCCTGATCACCCGATCCCGCTATTCGCCTCTTAGACAAGCATAGTCGCCTTTTACGTCAAGTATAGGTTGCTGAAGAGCTATTCTACCCCGGCTCTTCATGTGTCGAATTTGATTGAAGCTTTGTCTTTATTAAAACATATGAAAGTCAGAAAAAAATGCGAAAATTAGTCACTTGTAGTGTAACCATGGCGTTAGAGATAATTTTTGTCATTGAAAATATATCACATGACTTACCACGGGTCCAGGTAGTCCTGTGGGTACCCGGGTCCTACTCAGTACCCACTCGATACAAGTATCCGAATTACCCGTCCCAGCCCTAGCAGGCTGACATGATACTGCTTCAGCAAGCAGAGAGAGGGGTGTGTTATGTGACTGCAACATACCAGAATGATCATGATGATATCGGTGCAAGTAATCATTGAACAAATTTCCATATGGTAGCCATGTTGCATTGGAAAGGTAAATATTTGACTAACTTATTGGGTTGTAGTACTATTAATACAGCGTCTGACATTGGCACTAGTCCTATAGTCCTTGCCAAACTGCCAAATAGTTGTTATCATAAGGACTAGTAGATATATGCCCGTTTTAAGGGTTTTGCTCTATGTTATCATTATAAGGACTAGTGGACTAAAACAGTTAGTTCCAACTGCTGACTGTTACCTATATGTCACTATATGAAGCTTACAATGTATAAATATTTGTTGTGCTTCTACTTCAAGAAGGGGAGCATGCACCCCTGTACCCTGGACATGTTTTGGATTATTAACAGTAACACTTACAAATATTCACTCACTCACACACTGTTGCTATGTTACAGAGGATGTGTTGCCAGATGACAAGGGTGAGTGTGTCATATGTTTTGAAGATCTGCAGAAAGGGGATACCATTGCCAGACTACCATGCTTGTGTATATATCACAAAGCGTAAGTACTGTTTATCATCAGCTTGTTAACTTTAAACATTTTTTGTTTAATCTCAGTCTTGTCAAACGTGGTTTACAGCAATCATGTCTCACTGTGCTTCTATCAGAACCGAAGCCCTACTTCCAGATGCAATTCAAATACAGGTTCCTGTGTGCATGGTGTAGCTATATTGACATACCTCAAGTAGTTCCATTACCATCGGGGCATTGGGGTAGCCTAGTGGTTAAAGTATTCACTCATCACACTGACGACCTGGGTTTGATTCCCCGCATTGGTACAATGTGTGAAGCCCATTTTTGTTGTCCAATGTTGTGATATTGCTGGAATATTGATAAAAAGGGCGTAAAACTATACTCACTCACTGCTATTATATTATATTCTACTTAGGCAATGGTGCTCATTGGTTGATATGTTTGTTCATTATGCTGAAGGATCAGGTTTGATACCACACATGGGCACAATATGGGAAGCCCATTTCTGGCGTACCCTCCTGTGATATTGCAGGAAAATTGCTAAAAGTAGCATACAGCTATACATACTTGCTCACTGTATTGTATTTTACCTCTTGGTTTATCAGTAAATATTCAAGTATCGCCTTAAAAGGCGACTATGCTTGTCGTAAAAGTCGACTAACGGGATCGTGGTTGATACATGTCATCGATCCAAATTGCGTGGATCGATGCTCATGATGTCAATCACTGGATTGTCTGGTCCAGACTCCATTATTTTACAGACCGCCTTCATGTAGCTGGAATATTGCTGAGTGTGGTGTTAAACAACAAAAAAAACAAAAACAAACATTCACTCATTACAGCATAAGCTGATCCTCTGATTCAATTCTTTTCCTTTGTAGGTGTATAGACAAATGGTTTGAAGTAAACCGTTCATGTCCGGAACATCCAGCTGATTAGAGATGCAAGGAGCTTTGGTGTGAGGACAGTGTCAGGAGTTCACAGCAGATGCAAAATGGTGGACAAAAAAACCCAATGGTGCATGAATTTTGTGATATCAAACCTTCAATGACCATATTTTACTTGCACAGAGAAATTGCACAACTGTCCTTATTGTGGTGGCAATTGTTAATTGCAGAGCAATTTTGTTTGTGCCGATCTGATAAGTTTTCTCTCAGATGACACAAGCAGTCAATTCTTGGATCAATAAGCCAGTTTCTATAGATAGTCACAGTTATTGATGGATCGCAAAGACTTGGTTTGGATACACGATTTAGTTAAAGTCTTCAGCCAGCAGTCAATTGACCTCAAGGATAATCAATCAGAATGTGAAACAAATCAATGACTAACTTCCACTGATGGCTGCCAGTTGTCATCCGAAAAGATGACGTCACAAATCATTGCCAATCTCCCTGGGACACAGATTCTAAATGGGGAAGCGGAGTGGACTATATATTGTATTGATTGGCAAGGTGTAACAAGCAGGGCTTGATGGAATTTCCTGTTTTGTCTAATCTCTGATTTGTTTGATCTGTGTTGATTTTGTTGCAATGCTTCATAAATGGAAAGGACATTGCCGTGAAAACAGTTATTGCGACTTTTATTTGACCTTTAAAGTTGTGATCATGGAATGAGAAGTGTGCATATGCTAGGCTGGTTACCTAGGGAATGCCTTTACACAACATCAAAATAATTAACCCTTTTAAGACAGATCCCACTTTGAGGGCAAGTGGTACATATCTGTCATTGAAAGGGTGAAGGGCTGTTTTAGTTGAAAGCTCATTGTAGCTGTGTATATGTGCTGGAGTGATGTGTGTAAAGTGTTTGGTTGGTTAATGCTTGCATTTAACCCAGTGAAAGGCAGTGTGTTCAGAGTTGGTGGTGCAGTTTTGACACTATGTTTCAATGAGTGCCGTCTCCTTGGAGACAAGGACACAGACTTGATGGATATATGCCATGTGATACAAGTATTGAAGTGGTTTACTGATGTAACACATACTCCAACGTGGTATAAATGTGGAAGCATCTGTGTCATGATACTCGACGAGAGAGGAATGGAGTGTCTCATCCATGTTTTATCAAAATAATTCTCAGAGGTTCTCAAGTTGCCACAAATCACCTGTTGGTAATAAAAATAAATGCAGTGAAATAAGAATGAGATTGTGATTACGATAGGATTTAATCATGCCAGTGCAACATCCATTTTTGAAGTTTCTGTGTAAAGTCATTTAAAGATGTTTCTGAAGAAATATGCCTTCAGTTTTGACGGCGGAGTGGTGTAGTTGTGATTGATGTGGACACAGCACAAGCAGTCCTTTCTGCACACCAACAGTGTGTAAGGCACCACTACCATCTCGAACTTCACAAGCATCAGTCATTTATGTCTATGTATCGCCAGTCTGCAAGAGCTGGGTGGCAGGTCAACGACAGTCAGCCATCACCAAGCTATGCAGACTGTCAACGACACCCAGACATGTCAACATTATACTGATTTGTCAACGTTGCCCTGACATTTCAACATGAAGCAGATTTCTCAAGATTACTCCAATGTGTCAACATTATTGGGCTTGTCAACATTACCAAGATTTGTCAACATTATATGGACTTTCTAACAGTGCCCATATTTGTCGACAATCTCCTGATTTTGTCAATGGAACAGATATTGGTTACTGTACCAAGATTGTCAACTGCACAGATTTGTCAATTATGCACCGTGGATAGGGTCAATCCTACACTTAGTGTCAGCGATGCCTGGTCTTGTCAACAGTTGGGTTTTGAAAACAGTGCTCAGTTTTGTCAATTACAGGTCCTTGTGAGTGGTTCCAAGACTCTTTGTCTATGGTGCCAAGGCTTATTGTCAATGGAGATGAGGACTTATCTATGGTGCCAAGACTTGTCAATGGTGCCAAAGCTGTTGTCAATGGTGCCCAGGCATGTTGTCAATGGAGACTAGACTTGTTGTCAGTGGTGCCCAGGCATGTTGTCAATGGTGACAAGACTTGTTGTCAGTGAGGCACAGGCATGTTGTCAATGGTGACAAGACTTGTTGTCAGTGGTGCCCAGGCATGTTGTCAATGGTGACAAGACTTGTTGTCAGTGGTGACAAGACTTGTTGTCAGTGGTGACAAGATTTGTTGTCAATGGTGCCCATGCCTGTTGTCACTGGTGACAAGACTTGTCAACATTGTACAGACATTCAGCCAAATGAATCTACTGTGTGATATAAACTTTTTGTAAGATTGTATACATACTTGTACAGCATGTTGCTGCCACCAGGGATATGACCTGATATTATATATATATATATATACATTGTGTCTGTCACTGCTTCTTGTAACCCAGTGACGTGTGCATATGCCTAGAATTGGACTCGCAGCACTGTATGTGATCTGTCAGTTGCGTTGCATGCTATAGTGATGAAAAATGTAAAGTTTACGAACTAGTATCTACTTTTCTGATGTTACAAACTTTCTCGACAATGTCTTCAGTTAATTAGACTGTGTTTTCCTTAATTAAGACTTGTCTGGTAATTATTATGGATTTGTTGGTGACTTCATGATCACTTCATCAAAATCGTGAACAATCAAAGTCGTAACTGTTGTGAATACTATTCCTATTGAATCCTATTGAATCCTATTGGATCCTAGGGCTTGAATATTGCTAAAATTAACATAAAACCAAATGACTCACTCACACAGTGTACTATCATCAAGTTACAATCAAACTGACCGTTTTTGTGGTATTATTAACTTGGGAGATTATTTCTATCCCAGACATGCTGAACAGTTCATTTTCAGTCCTCAAACTTCTACTGAAATTTGGGGTAGTAAACTTTGAAGTTGTTGGTACACACAAACTATGAAAAGAAATCATTATAGAGACATAATCATTATAAGGGGCCCTCGAACAGATCTTTTCACCCTCACTGCATCTTCGGAGTCTAGGAATATGTGTCTAGAGTCTAAAAGTCCAGGTCTGGAGTCTGGGAGTTCAGGTTTAGGGAATCCAGGTTCTAGGTGTCCAGACTTGAGAATCTGTGTCCATAAATGTAGGAGTTTAGGTCTAGAGTCTAGGAGTCTGGGTCCAAAGTCTAGGAGTTTAGCTTTATAGGTCTAGAGTCACCGGAGTCCAGGAGTCCAGTTCTAGAGTCAGCCTCATCACAAGACTTCCCTGGGGATACTTTGTGGAGCAGCAACAGTAGCAGCATCAGCATCAGCACGATGCTGACGCCTGGTAGTCCTTGAGCTCCTCATCCATACTGTGGTGCACTGTAGCTCACCCGTGTTGTACATGTGTGACTGTGAGTGAGTGAGTGAGTGGGTGGGTGGTGGAAGTTTACATGTTGAAGGTGGACAGTTCGTTAAATTATGAATATGTCTATTTGGCCAACATGGGTAATTGTTGCGTCACCATCACGTTCATAGCCTATTTGACATATGTTTGCATCATGTTCATACATCAATATGATTAAAGAGCTCTCCCTACTCCTCATGGTCGGTTGGTTACATTTGCATTGATTATTCGATTTCTGGAACATGTTATTTGCTCAAAGGCAAAAGTAACTGTGATCATGTGAGTTTATTGCCAACTATAAAAATAATAATTCTTGTGATGCAGCTTTGATTGGTCAGTTGTCTGTGACAACTACCAGTGATTGATTTAACAGTATAAAACATGATCTAGTGCACCCTGATATTGAAAAATGGAACCTATTATTTATCATTACATGCACTAAGTGCATGTCGAAATTTTTTACAAATTTGTGACTGACTTACGAAAGAATGTTTTCTACACCACATCAATCTTTGAATTCAATACACTTTTTGTAAAATACATCATTACAATTCTCAGTGTCATGTGTAATAAGACATTGTCCTTTTGGCTTGACGTCATAAACCCTACCAGGTCAGTCTTATGATAATGACAAGAAAGCAAGAGAAATTATGGGATGTTTAAGTGATGCCGTTCAAAGTGATCTTGCCAGTGAACTGAACATTTCACAATGTTAATGACACTAATCTGGGATCAGATTTTATTTTCCTAATTATATACTTCTATAGTTAATTTTTCCTCTGGTGTCAACATGCACAAGGTGCAAGCTAAATCTAGTTCCTAAATCATGGCCGACAACAAAGCTTAGTTCTATGTTTTGGCGTATTATCGTCAAAAGGAAACACGCATCTAAAATGTTTCGTTCAAACTTCATCTACAGAGAATGAAACTTCAGAGACATTTCACCATAACTTGTGTCAAAATTCACAATTTGCCTGGCAGAATTATATTTGGAAATTTTGAATTTGATGAAACTTAGCAAGCCAAATGGGATCCATTTTAAGCCTGATTGAGTATCAACATGATCAATAATCTTCAAGGACAAGAATGTTTACAATTGCAGGTTAGTGCTTCTGAGAATATCATTTGATAAATAGACAGAATATGAACGCAGTTAAACATGAACACAGATACTTTGGCGTTTCTTTTGTATATTTGACCAACATGAGTATTGTCTGCGTTTAATCATATTCACATAGTTGGAGATGTTTGCATGGATTCACCTATTTGATGAAAAGTACTTGTTTCTCATCATTGTCAGTTACATTTATTATTTCTATAACATGTTTTGTTAGGGCAAAACTATTTGATTTACAAGGGGGACCTTATATTATGATCAAGCCCATTTTACTGAAAACGTTTTATGTATGCCTCGTATTGCAGGGGGAAAAATGTGCCCTTTTCTTGCAGACTTTATCTGTGTCTCCAAAAAAAGCAGTTTGTTATTTATTTATTAAAAATAAAATTGACCACCTGTTTATGTTGGAACATATAATCGAACTCCTAAACATTAAACAAATGCGGATCTGAAACCAAAATCCTACCACCCATCCACCCTCTGAAAATCAAATGGTTGCTCCCTTATTATTTTATCTATGGATCTCACAACACAAAATCAGGTCTAAGGGTCTTTACCTGGTCTGTAAATCCAGCAAAGGTTAGCAGCAGAACTGGAGATAGGAAAATATTGTCTGATTTTTGTGGTTGAGAATTAAATTAACCTTTGTCATTTTCATTTTCATCCCAAATCTTGTGTAAATACAAGCAGTGTTCTCCTAAATATTGCCTTAATTATACATATACAAGAGAAAGACAATATGACCAAAATAAATACAATGTGCATTCAAGATGCTGATTGTTGTCGCAGTGGTAGAAGAGTCGTGAGTGTTTTGTTGAATCAGTTCAGTGGGCCGGCCGAGGGAGAATGACGTGTTGAATGCATGATGTGATTGTTGGTTGACATTTGTTGATGAAATTAACATGTCAATGATGAGGGGACCTAGTCTGTGAGTAATCATAATATATTCATGAATGTTCATGAGAAAAACAACAAAGTTGTTCATCAGGCAAGAATTTCATTATCAGGGGAGGTAACTCTTCAGGGTATTGTTTCACTTGTGGAGAAACATCCAATTCTGTGTTTCTGGCCTGTACCCTGTAGTCACCTGTATGTTTCTCTGCACACTGGTGTGTAACAAACTCAGCTTTCAGCTTGATCCACCTGGGTTTGTTGTGTCATTTGTTTGTATGCCTTTTATTTTTTATTGGTTGGTTTACAAAAACTTTGGCCTGAAATTCAATGTAGGTGGTCAAATATAAATCATCTTCCATATTAGCACCGATACTGTCAATAATGAATGAATGAAAAAACAAACATGTTTTAACATGGTAAGATAATAACGATAATTGATTGGTTGTTGGGTTTTTTAATAAAGATTTTGTTAATATTAATCACCATTTCTAACAAACAGCGGTGATAAAATTCTGTGGGTTTTTTCAAAACAGTCACCCAAGAATATTTTTTTATCAAAAGTAATGTTTCTTTCTTTCTATTTTTCAAAACAAGTTAGCAAAAATATAAGGCCAAAATTGATAGTCAATTTACCAGTGTTTACCACTGAAGATTCCAAAACACATTAACCTGTCTGTACTTCATTGAACCTTATATTCTTTTGGTTAATGAAACATTTTGAAAATCAGACTTACAAACTCCACCTCTTGAGGCTCATTAAAAAGTAGCGGGAGATCCAGGCAAGAGCTAACCATAACTTAATCAATTATCTGTAAAGACCCATCATGGGATATCCCTGTTGATGCCTGCTCAAGTGATATATAAAACTCCTATTTCCTTTTTTAATAAATATGTCACTAATGTTTAATTTATACAACTGATGTAATCTACAAATCTGAAGTTGCTAGTCCCTAATTTGTTTGACATAATCTGTTTTCACAGACAAAATACCCAAGTGCAGTTTATTCTGTTGAATCCAAGGATGGTAATTGTAAGTTTCAATTATAAGTTTTCTTTTGTTCAGGGCTGATTTACAGATTTGGGGAAATTTGATTTAGTTTTTTTTTTAAAAGTTCCTTATCCAAGGCCCTCTGTTTTGTTCAGGGCTGATTTACAGATTTTGGGAAATTTGATTTAGTTTTTTTTTAAAATTCCTTATCCAAGAGGTGGTAAATTTGAAAGACGAGTTTTAACATATGCTTTTTAGTTCCCTAATGGTGGATACCATGATGTTTTTAACTGTGCTATATGAAGTTGGACGTGAAATTCATTTTAATGATTTCTACCTGGGTATTGACTATTGTGTTCCCTATGTTTTATCCGTTTACTTCTGTGGAAGATTTTATTGAGATGTCAACATGCACAGTAGGTATAGTATCATCAATCAAACTCAAATTTCAGTATCTTCATTGTGCATGGTCATATATCAAACCTGAAGAAATGTTCTATCATAATCAAGTTGCAGGCAAAAAGGAAAATCAAATATTGGGTTAATTGTGGCACACCTTTCTCTGCGATCAAATATCGCCTCACAAATGGGGATTCAAACAAGAGGAACGGGGCTGGTTGAAATTATAGACAAATTTGTCTCTTTAGAGGAATTGGAGCTGCTTTTTTTTATGGTGTTAATCAAAAAGCACATTACAGATTTTCTACCATACATGTGACGATTCAGTTCCATCTTCAGCCTCATCTCGTGATTGTTTTGCAAAGGCTGTTAGTATGATGTCATGACAAGACAGGCCTGGAGACATAGTGCAAGTGTTGAACACGTTTTACCTATTCATTGTGACAAGTTTATGGAAGACCATTCAGAGATCCATTGTTACATCAATCAACATGTATTTTTAAAATGATTATTTTTTAAACTATTCAAACAGCATCAGTGTAGTCAAAGGGAGGTAACTCATGGTGGTACTTTGACATTTTATGCTTGTCTTTGTCATGATCACAATCATTTGAAAGATATTTTTATTCATCACTGCTTGCCTGTAAGACTTACATTTCAGTTTGAATTATGTTTGTTGGTGACAAATAAATTCATCTCACTGCAACAATTTCAAAGTTTTTGTCATAATTTTGATTCTTTGGGGACATATATTTTCATTGTTTTCACAAGAATTTCACAGTTTTGCATTACTTTGCACTGATCAGAAAATGACAACAGCTTTTTTATTGGGTTTAAGTGCATCATGAGATGTTTCCATTTGTTACTGCAGGTTATATCAACTAATCTTCTGTCTTAAATTTTGAGTGAGTGAGTGAGTTTGGGCTTTACGCCGCTTTTAGCAATATTCCAGCAATATCACGGCGGGGGACACCAGAAATGGGCTTCATACATTGTACCCATGTTGGGAATCGAACCCAGGTCTTCAGCGTGACGAGCGAACTCTTTAACCACTTGGCTACCCGACCGCCCCCTTAAATTTTGAATGGAAGTGATGATTGAGTCATGCATTTATGCTTTTATTATCAACACAAATGAACTGCAGGTCTTCATTTGTTCATGATTATGCTGGTCACAATTTAATTTTTGTAAGGATAAATCTGTTTTGTTTATATATTCATCCTTTGTGTTTTTCATTGTGCATGCTGTCCACCTATTTCACCTGAAATCCTTTTAAAGAAGCATTGAAAATATGTACAGTAAAATACATGGTTCATGTTAAAACCACTTGTTTAATAGATCCAACATTTCAAGTGGTCATGCCTTTCAACCCAATGTTTGTAAAATTATGAAATTATGATCTGCAGGGTTTATAAGGGCAGGTTTCCGAGAAATATGCCCCTGAATCAAGAGGACGATGTGAGTGTGTGAGTCAGTACATCACTGGATGTATGCTAATGTATAATAGTCATGTATATATGCAACACCATTTATAAGTTGTGCATTTTGTTGAGATAGTGTATTTTGTAGTGAAAGGATACTAGTTCATGATATGTACTGTTACCATGGTTACGAATCCAATGCTTTCAGTTTGTGTCACAGCACTCTGTCTTACTCCACAAGTAGATTTGGTGATAATAACTTTATATATTGATATGTATTTAATATTTAGTAGAGGTGGAATAATACGCTGGCGTCACGATTCAGCATCAGTTACGATTTGTGTTCATATGGTACATGATTTTGACAACATGCAGAAATAATTTTGACCTTTTTTTTGAAGATTACACCTCTCTATGTGCAATATTACACAATTATTTTTTCACATTAATATATTTTTTCAAAGTCGATGTCCTCAATCTCGAAGTTGAGTATACATGGTATATGTTACTCTCGAATACACAGAATAGGAAGACCAAAATCACCAAGAATTTGAACATGTTAAATCTTATATTTAAAGTCTAGTGGATCATAAGCTTATCAATATTACAAAACATTTATTTCACTTTGGGTCCCTGATTTGTGTATGAGGGAAACTGCGGTCGGATGAAAAAATGAAAATATGACCCAAAGTGGTACAAGTATTGTTATTCCCCATCAACCTATGCTTGTCAAAGCAGGTTTTCACATGGTGGTCAGGTTCACTGATTGCGTGTCGTGGTACCTCTGCGCCAAGTAACATTGCTCATAATATCAATTACTGATTTGTCTGGTCCAGACACTTTTATTTACCAGCCATCGCCATTAATCTGGACATTGTTGAGAACGGCATTAAGCACGAATGACATTAAATTCCCTCAGTGTTCTTGCAGAGACAGCATTATTGGTCCTTGTGTCACTGCCAGAGTATAAATCTTCACATTGTTTGAAGGAGTTCCATATGAACCTGTTACAGTGTAATCACCTTTTGTCGATTAAAACTATACTACCGTATTCGATGTAATAAGCGCCCACGGCGAAAAATTGCTAATATATTGGATATTGAACAATCCAAATTAGCATCCCTTCCGACTGATCAATGTATACAAGACTTATTTATTCGCATATAATACGCACTCGTGTGTTATATTCACCCTTAATTATGGGCAATTAAATCATATCTGTCGTATATAACATTTCAGGCTGCCAGCATAAACCACGAAGTTTATCTTTCAATATTCTAATAAGAGCCCCCTATTTCTAATTTTGAGAGCACTCTAGGGCTTATTACGTCGTATATGGTAATCAAAAGTAGTTGAGGCCCACCAGACTCTTTCATATTACTATAGGGGGCACGGTTGGCCAAGTCGTCGCGATTCGCTGTGCAGAGTTGCGTCCCTTGGACACGCCAGAAACCTATGATTGTGGGTTCGAATCCCGGTTCGCCCCGATTATGTTTCTAGGTTTGTCAGCACCATACCTGTGCTCATGGGTTTCACCGAAGTGGTAAACGTCTGAGACCTGCATCACTTCGGGCTTTCCTCCCACATTAAGCTGACACGCCTTGATATAACTGGAATATTGTTAAAAGCGGCGTAAAACCCAACTCACTCACTCACTCATATTACTATAGTTAATCTGCCATGCCAGGACTTACTGTTTGAATGTATGACCCTATGTATTGGGCTCTGAGATAGTCAAGTCAGCAAATTGGTGACTCATCAGATTAAAGAACTAATCTTTGTGTTCCCTGTTGAAAATATTTTTAAATCAGCTTAAGACAAACTCGCTTGTTCAATATCATGTACCACATGAAGTGTCGTGTAACTAACCTGAATGAGATTAACACTTCTAGAGGTAGGCACCTGTTCTGTTGCCGATGATCTTGTGGATGTAGCGGAACCCTGTATTGGAGTCTGTCTAGAGATATTCCAGACAAGCAAGTCATGTCAAAGTCTTTCAGATTTGTGTGTGTAACCAGGACAGATTGCTTGTGAGCTTCTTGTGTATGAAGGCTGAAGAAAGTCTTTGATGGCTTTCTGGTTCAGTTTGTGTTGACAATTGTATTTCCCTCAACACTAACCTGATGGATGTTAGGTGTTGGTATTCATGATTGTGTTCAGTGTCAAAATGCAGACAAGAGGAGGGCAGTTTTATAGATTTCATTCAATTGTTGTCATTAGAATGACATTTATGACACTATGGTTTGGATATTTCAAGGTAAGTAATTGTTGCGAATAGCTGCAAGATTGTTGAGCAATAATTACTCACTCTGCATAAGTAAACATCTCTTTATCTTTCTTTTTCAGTTTTATTTGTGTTAATATGAAAATAAATTCAACCAGGGCTGTGTTCGACAAATTGAACAAAGATGATCGCAACTCCTATATATGCATTCAACATAAACCTTAATAGTCGTACCACTTAGATTTCTTTGTGGAATGAGGATCACAAGAAAGTTAAAATAATTTTGTTATTTTCAGTGTTTGTGTTATAAGTGAATACTGTATTTTAATTTTAGCTCACTTTGCCTCAGTTTTTCACAAGTTGTCTTTTGTCCATCATCAGTGTTGATAAACTTATTCAAGGCATCACAATTGAACTTTCAATATGGCTACCAGGAAGCCATCTTTGATTAAAAACAAGAAAATATCTTGTCAAAAACGTGAAGAAGCAAAAACCCAAACTCACATTGAGTACCCGGGTAGGTGCAAGTTTGATCAGAAATCAGATATGGCTGCCAGGGTCCAAAGGGAAGTAAAAGAAAATCAGGAGTCATTCGTCACAAACATTATGTCCTTAGAAACTACTTGCCCAACAAAACTTAAACTTCATATACTTGTTCCTATGAATGATGACACTCAAATTTGTTCAAGATGTTTGTGTCACTTCTCAGCCATTTCAGCTGAAAATGTACCGAAATGCGGTTGTGACTGTCAACATCTCTGAAATTTCCAGATTGAGGCTACTGAACTTTGGCATTTATGGTTCTCATTAGGATGACATCATAATTTGTTTCATTGATTAGAATTTTACTGTGTTTTTTGTGAAACAATTGGAAAAATTGTATGGAATCAGACAAAAATTATTCTCCTTGGAAGGCTTTTGAGACTCAGAGTTGAAACTGTGTGAAAAGTAAATTTGAATAGTTGTTTATTTCAACAATGTTATATGATAGCACGTTTATTCTTGCATATTTGGAAACATTGTGGATAGTTAGTTACTTGTTTGTTAGTACTTTCGTATTTATGCAGACCGCATTTGAATAGCAATGCAGAACGCTGCTTCATTGAGGTGGCTGTCTTTGTTGACATTTTAACTGTTTCACAACGTATCCAGGTGAGCTGCAGTGCACTATTTTCTGTTATTGTGTTTCGAAAATGTGAATTTATGAATTCTTTGGAAGCTATAAAACCACTCTCCTCTTTTTTAGGTAGGCGATTACCAATACTGTGTATGTTAATGAAATATTGTGGTAATGTTGACATATGATGATTTCAATATATTTACAACATAGGCCTTTTGTCAGCTTCTTTTTTGTTGAACATTTTAAGCAATTTTGAGATTATTTTCTTTGCCAAGAATTTACCCTCAGTTCCATGTAGGATGCAAGTGAGAAATACAAGGCCAGAGCAATGTTAGTCCTTGTTCCATGGATTTCACATGCCAATATGTCAAGATTCAGGGGGAAGAACATAGGGGACAGATTTCAATGATGGGGAATTACAATACAGTGCTTATTGCCTGGTTGTTTAAAGACATGTAATTGTAAGGAGCTATTAACCAGGAAAGGGAAGAAATATGTATGTTTTCAATCACACACACAGGATGTATTTTTGTCCTTTGGAAGAAAAAGAACTCTCTGTAAAACCATGAAAATGGGTTTGGCGTTATTTTGACCTATTGACCATACTTAGGGACTGACCATTTAATATTTAGGAGGTGTCTGCTTTTTTGTTTGAGACAAAATGTTTTTGGTCAGTGATTCTAGATAAGGTTATTTTTCTTTTAATTCATCCTGTGTGTCTAGGGAACAGTTTTGTAAAATCTGAGGCGAAATAATTTCGCTCCAGCACTTTCTGGAAGACATTTTGTTTTTCAAACAAAGTCCCTCACACCCTTAGAATACTAAATGGGTCATCCCTTATATCATAGATTGAGCATAAAAACCCAGGAACATTATTGGTGCATTGTGAAACATCAACCAATGGTGGCCCAGATGTGTGTAGATCATGTTTTCCTCATATAATGTTTGGTGTATTTTGCGAAAGGAAAACATGTTCAAAATCTAAAAATAGCACATTGGATAACTTGGATATAATAAACTGGCCTCCGTGGGCAATCGTAGCACTAAAACGATCGTAAGTAAAGGTTAAAGTATGGGAGTTAGGACGATCTTAGCACTATGATAGCTTTGTGCAACATGGCCGTGGACAGTAGAACAGGAAGATGTGTGTGTGTACATGGTTGGGGTGCCATCATAATAATACCTCCAGTGGGTAGGACACGTCCTCTGCATTATATCTACAGTGTCAGGTGCTCGTGATGAGAATGGACGTGCGTAGGTACACTGGCCAATGCTGTTCTGTGTTCGACCTTGAACATAACCTTGAATTTACATGTGCTTACTGTAACGGCTCCCTGCAGAGCTGGAATAAGTGCATGTTTTATTCCATCTTTTTCATGTACTGACTTTGCATTTCAATGGAACTGTGGACAATATGAATAAACGATATTGATGAAGAAGTCTTATGTTCTTTGTTGGCAGTCTCATTAGGAGCAAGGTTTTTTCTCCATACGAAACCTCCTTGAATGAAGATCTGAGGTCACGTCAGGCGAACATCACCTTTTCGTGAACACCTGGTATCTTTACTATTTGGTAGTGATTCATAACCACACGTTAATGATTTCGCGGGAGTCGTACAATGGACGCTATTCTATTGAGCCAATCAGGGCCCTGGCGTCTAAATAATTATTCAGATCTGCATGTCCGATTGCTGATCATTTCTGTACCTCGAAAACAAAGTCTATCTTTCATTGTTTCGATAAGTGCCCCACCAATATATTGGTGTGGATTTATTTTAGTATATTTTATGGCAGAAGCAAGAGTTTCGGTGATGCACTGTTTTGACCTAGGTGGGTTAAGTTTAACGCTCCTTTAAGCAGTATTCCAGTTATATCACGGCGTGTCAGTTTAATGTTGGAGGAAAGCCCGAAGTGATACAGGTCTCAGACGTTTACCACGTTGGTGAAACCTACGAAAACGCGTATGGACCTGACAAACCTAGAAACATAATTGGGGAGAACCAGGATTCGAACCCACAATCATAGGTTTCGGGCGTTCACAGCTGGGCCACATCTGAGACCCAAATGCTGTATATTAATGCATCACGTGTCACCCCAGTCAGTTGATACCTCCAAAGTTCCGAAGTAATTTGATCTTGCACAGTGGATTTGTAAAAAGCAAGTGTTAACATATCTGGGCGTGAAGTGCCTATGTAAAAACAACATACTTTGTTGAAAGGATTAGCCGATAATGCTTTGATTAATCAATCAAAGCATTATCGGTTAATCCTTTCAACAAAGTATGTTGTTTTTACATAGGCTCATTGTTACCTAACTCAACAGATTTTTTTTAAGATCCCAAAACCACCCGATACGGTAAGTCGCCTCTTACGACAAGCTACCCGTGAAGATCCGGGTTAGAAAAGAATAGAATAGAACCTATGCTTACCGTCACAGGCGACTATGCTTGCAAGAGGCGACTAACGGGATCGGGTGGTCAGGTTCGCTGACTTGGTTGATGCATGTCCTCGTATCCAAATAGCGTAGATCGATGCTCATGATGTCAGTTACTGGATTGTCTGGTCCAGATTCGATTGTTCACAGACCGCTGTCTTATAGCTGGTATATTGCTGAGTTCGGCGTTAAACGACAAAGAAAGAAACAAACAAACGTTTGAAGACTGAAGACCGATTCTAACCCGGATCTTCACGGGTAGCAGGCTGATACAGTAAACATCCATCCACTCAATTGGGATACGACGACACGAAATCAATCAAGTCACCACGCCAGAAATGCCAACCCCTTTGTGCTCTTACGCCAATCATCGGTCCCTGGGGACCTATATTCCCAACCGGAGCCCCCACGGGTTTTTAAGGTAGATCGTCCTGACGACCAACAATGCGCTACATTATTTATTAAGAATAAAAGACCCACAAACATACTATTTATTTATAATCTTTGTTTAATTTAGTACAATTGTGAATTTAGGATCGATTGGTTTGGAAATCGATAGAAAGTCTAAAAATAAATTCAACCTGTCTACATATTTATACTGTAAAAATGTGTTGAGAACACATTTTCTTTTATACAGATCTTCTTGTCTTGTGACTCAAATAAAACAACGACGGAATGTATGTACAAGCGTTTTACTATTGCTGTTTTTTCTCCATAAACAATCATACTATTAGGCTTAAATGTGAGTATATCAAAGAATATTTATCAAATTTTCTGCAAATAAATTGGTGGAACGTGTACAGTTCCGACCCTGATTCGAACACCGGATTGTGCATGTCGGGCTGCAGGTGTTGGATAGATGCATTCGTCACCACTCGACCCTTTCCGTAACCTGCAAGAAGCTTGTCCCGGAATAACACGAGTTAGTCACGAATGGGATCGATGCTACAAACCCTTGATGACGATCAATACCGGTGACAGCGTTTGGTTGGTTTCACCTGCATGTGTTATCGTATAAATGTTGAAATATTCTCAAGTAAATTCTAAATATCACTTGAAAAACTGTTTTTAATGTGTTATTCATTTGTATGTGAATGAACTTTCTTGACAAAATCTTGGTTATATGTATGACACAAATATGTCTCCACTTTCTTTAAATCCACAGCTGGGAAAAAGTTCGAAATTATTAATACAAGCGTTTACAGCGTTTGAGATGTTCTGTCATTTTTACATGATAGTGACTTAATAGACCTTTTTGAAAAACAGGAATCCCGACTTGCGCAAACCTATGCGCGGAGCCTCTTCCTACATGCAACTACTGAATTGCTAATGCTGAATTGCAGAGGAATACGACAAAAACATTATAACCAAATATTGCCTTGTGTGAGAGACTGAAACTGTCCGTGTTCATTCACGTCTCCACAATAGGATTAACGAAAAAATGAAGCACTATTATGAACCAGAAGCGGCATCCATCTAAGGAGTATCAGTCCAATCTGAACTCCTTTTCGTGTATCACATAACTCGAACTTTAAGCGTTGTCACTTCGGCAAAACCCGGAATTGGTCACGACGGTCAGTCTGCCTCCAGTACTGGGGATGATCTTGATGAAGTGGGGCTGAAAGAGAGAGGCAGAGTTTGGTTTAAGCCGCCCATAGGGATGCTGATCGAAGACCTCATTTTGGTAAGAGCTAATGGATCATGTCGACAAGAGCTCCACAAAGAGTGACGACATCACGGAGGGCTACACCAGATGTGTGTTGGTTGTTTAACGCTGCGCTCAGCAATGTTCCAGCTGTCTGACGTCGGTATGTGAATAATCGAGTCTGGACCAGACAATCCAATGATTGACATCATGAGCATCGATCCACGCAATTGGAATATGATGACATACATCAACCAAGACAGCGAGCCTGACCGCCCGATCCCGTTAGTCGCCTCTTACGACAAGCATAGTCGCCTTTTACGACAAGCATGGGCTGCTGAAGATCTAGTCTATCCCGGATCTTCACGGGTCAGATAAATACTGACCAAGCCTACTGAGGTTATATTATTCATGTTGACACAGAGCTGACTAGCTGGTCTGTCGCCATTTGGGTAGCCGAGAAGATGACAAGTTAGCTTTTGATATACCAAATGTTGCATTGCTTGTGTAACATATAGTATACGTCATATGCCACCTGCTTTACAATCGGTCTTACATAGGTAGTCCCAGCTGTCGTTTGATTCTTCAGGTGGTCTATCTGAAAATACAACAAAGTCAGAATTACGTTACGTTGTATGACATAATTGATTGAGTGAGTGGGTAGGGTTTTACGCCACATTTAGCAATAAAACAGCCGTATCACGGCAGGGGACACCAGAAATGGGATTCACACATTGTACACATGTGGCCCTGGTGTAACGAACCCCAGTGTGATGAGCCAATGCTTTACCCACTGGGCTACCCAACCGGACCCTCAGTGAGTGAGTGAGTATGGTTTTACGCCGCTTTTAACAATATTCCAGCAATATCACGGCGGGGGTCACCAGAAATGGGCTTCACACATTGTACCCATGTCGGGAATTAAACCCGGTCCTTCGGCGTGACGAGCGAACGCTTTAACCACTAGGCTACCTGGCCGACCTTAGTTTGTATAGATACAATACCCAGCGAAAGATGTAGTCTGTTATTGCACGAGTGTCTCGAGATTGCGTTTATTACTGAAAAATATTATCATGGTACTCGTTCTTTTTTTCATAAAAGCATTTCCCTTCTTGCTTACAAGGGTAAATAAGATATATTCAATAATTGAAAACATACGTAACTACCTGCAACCTGAAAAAATCTAAATAAAAGCATGGCTGATTGGAGACCAATAAAGAAAATGTTACAAGCAATTTGGTGAGGCAACAACCAATTGATCATTTGTTTTACTGATACCACTGAGTTCGACAGTGGGTCGCCATGGTAGAAGAATGTTAGCAGTTTAATTCATGAACATAGCCATCAGCGTTGCCCGAGAGTAAGTTCTTCCCAATTCACAGAGAACAAGAGGCTATTCCGACGAACAGATGATCAGGTCATTGTGGTCCCAATTGAATACGGGAACTGTTTTTACTGTGCATCGACCCATGTACCTCTTGAATGGAGTCATTGTGTGGATTAGAAGCGTGAATAGATCGGAGCTGTTCATACATTGTGACATGCATAGCATGTATCCCAGGGCTACGCATACAAATGTAAACCTGGGGTCCCTTTCACAAAGCGATCGTAGCGCAACTCCCTATCGCAACTCCCACACTTTAACATATACTTACAACTGTCGTGACGCTGTGATTGCTTTTAGTTGTAGAACGGTGCCCCGTGCAGGGCGTCACGTGACATGCTCGAGGGAAATGGTGTTACGGACTTAAATTAATTTGTGCCCGTGGTTTTGTGAATGTTGTACGCGATTTCCAGGAATCCCTGAGATATTAGTTGTTATTTAATAGTTGTTTAAAGACACAATATTCCATTAAAAATCGACCACCTAATTCATGAAGTCTCCTCTAACGACCAACATAGATAGCAGGGGACAGTTCTAACTCGGAATCCCACGGGGTCATTGGGATACGACACAATAGCCGGGAGTGGTATTTGTAGTCCTCTGTCATCGTCACATTTCGCCCCTGGTGTATTTATATACATATAGGATGTTCGAAAGTAAGGAGAGGTAAAATTCCATTATTTTAATCAAAACTTCTGATTCTGGTGATGAGTGAGTGAGCTGGATTTAACGTCGCTTTGAACAGTATTCCAGTTACATCACTGGGCGTAAGCTAAAATGTGGGAGGAAAGCCCGAAGTGATGGAGGTCTAAGATGTTTACCGCTTTGGTGAAACCCACGAGCACGGTGCCGACAGACCTAGAAACAAAATCGGGTCGAACAGGGATTTGAACCCACGATCATAGGTTTCTGGTGCGCCCAAGGGACGCAACTCTGCAAAGTAATAGTTGCGTCCTGTGATGAGATTTTTTGCCTTCCCAACTGTTAGTTGCAATTGTTAGTGTTGGTCGTTGTCACATATAGTCTAACAGTGACCACATGCACTTGGTATGTAAATAGAAACATGCAAAATAATATATACATACTGCTCAGCGATCGGCCCTAAACATGACGAAAATATGGATTAGCTCGTAAATAACTGCACGAGTACATCATATTCTTTCAATAATGTGCAGACAACAATATGTATCCATGCTCCTTAATGTTACAGTGTTGTGTGTCCACAATGTACCATGTGTCAGTCAGTCAGTCAGGTCTCACAAATACTTTAATGTTACAGTGTTGTGTGTCCACAATGTACCATGTGTCAGTCAGGTCTCACAAAATACTTTAATGTTACAGTGTTGTGTGTCCACAATGTACCATGTGTCTGTCAGTCAGTCAGGTCTCACAAATACTTTAATGTTACAGTGTTGTGTGTCCACAATGTACCATGTGTCAGTCAGGTCTCACAAATACTTTAATGTTACAGTGTTGTGTGTCCACAATGTACCATGTGTCTGTCAGTCAGTCAGGTCTCACAAATACTTTAATGTTACAGTGTTGTGTGTCCACAATGTACCATGTGTCAGTCAGGTCTCACAAAATACTTTAATGTTACAGTGGTGTGTGTCCACAATGTACCATGTGTCTGTCAGTCAGGTCTCACAAAATACTTTAATGTTACAGTGTTGTGTGTCCACAATGTACCATGTGTCTGTCAGTCAGGTCTCACAAAATACTTTAATGTTACAGTGGTGTGTGTCCACAATGTACCATGTGTCTGTCAGTCAGGTCTCACAAAATACTTTAATGTTACAGTGGTGTGTGTCCACAATGTACCATGTGTCTGTCAGTCAGGTCTCACAAATACTTTAATGTTACAGTGGTGTGTGTCCACAATGTACCATGTGTCAGTCAGGTCTCACAAATACTTTAATGTTACAGTGGTGTGTGTCCACAATGCACCATGTGTCAGTCAGGTCTCACAAATACTTTAATGTTACAGTGGTGTGTGTCCATAATATACCATGTGTCAGTCAGGTCTCACAAAATACTTTAATGTTACAGTGGTGTGTGTCCATAATATACCATGTGTCAGTCAGGTCTCAGAAAATACTTTAATGTTACAGTGTTGTGTGTCCACAATGTACCATGTGTCTGTCAGTCAGTCAGGTTTACAAATACTTTAATGTTACATTGGTGTGTGTCCACAATGTACCATGTGTCAGTCAGGTCTCACAAAATACTTTAATGTTACAGTGGTGTGTGTCCACAATATACCATGTGTCTGTCAGTCAGTCAGGTCTCACAAATACTTTAATGTTACAGTTGTGTGTGTCCACAATGTACCGTGTGTCAGTCAGGTCTCACAAAATACTTTAATGTTACAGTGTTGTGTGTCCACAATGTACCATGTGTCAGTCAGGTCTCACAAAATACTTTAATGTTACAGTGGTGTGTGTCCACAATGTACCATGTGTCAGTCAGGTCTCACAAAATACTTTAATTTTACAGTGGTGTGTGTCCATAATATACCATGTGTCAGTCAGGTCTCAGAAAATACTTTAATGTTACAGTGTTGTGTGTCCACAATGCACCATGTGTCAGTCAGGTCTCACAAAATACTTTAATGTTACAGTGTTGTGTGTCCACAATGTACCATGTGTCAGTCAGGTCTCACAAAATACTTTAATGTTACAGTGGTGTGTGTCCACAATGTACCATGTGTCAGTCAGGTCTCACAAATACTTTAATGTTACAGTGGTGTGTGTCCACAATGTACCATGTGTCTGTCAGTCAGTCAGGTCTCACAAATACTTTAATGTTACAGTGTTGTGTGTCCACAATGTACCATGTGTCAGTCAGGTCTCACAAATACTTTAATGTTACAGTGGTGTGTGTCCACAATGTACCATGTGTCAGTCAGGTCTCACAAATACTTTAATGTTACAGTGTTGTGTGTCCACAATGTACAAAGTGTCAGTCAGGTCTCACAAAATACTTTAATGTTACAGTGGTGTGTGTCCACAATGTACCATGTGTCAGTCAGGTCTCACAAAATACTTTAATGTTACAGTGGTGTGTGTCCACAATGTACCATGTGTCAGTCAGGTCTCACAAATACTTTAATGTTACAGTGGTGTGTGTCCACAATGTACTATGTGTCAGTCAGGTTTCACAAAATACTTTAATGTTACAGTGGTGTGTGTCCACAATGTACCATGTGTCTGTCAGTCAGTCAGGTCTCACAAATACTTTAATGTTACATTGGTGTGTGTCCACAATGTACCATGTGTCAGTCAGGTCTCACAAATACTTTAATGTTACAGTGGTGTGTGTCCACAATGTACCGTGTGTCAGTCAGGTCTCACAAATACTTTAATGTTACAGTGGTGTGTGTCCACAATGTACAAAGTGTCAGTCAGGTTTCACAAAATACTTTAATGTTACAGTGGTGTGTGTCCACAATGTACCATGTGTCTGTCAGTCAGTCAGGTCTCACAAATACTTTAATGTTACAGTGGTGTGTGTCCACAATGTACCATGTGTCAGTCAGGTCTCACAAATACTTTAATGTTACAGTGGTGTGTGTTCACAATGTACCATGTGTCAGTCAGGTCTCACAAATACTTTAATGTTACAGTGGTGTGTGTCCACAATGTACTATGTGTCAGTCAGGTCTCACAAAATACTTTAATGTTACAGTGGTGTGTGTCCACAATGTACCATGTGTCTGTCAGTCAGGTCTCACAAATACTTTAATGTTACAGTGGTGTGTGTCCACAATGTACCATGTGTCAGTCAGTCAGTCAGGTCTCACAAATACTTTAATGTTACAGTGGTGTGTGTCCACAATGTACCATGTGTCAGTCAGGTCTCACAAATACTTTAATGTTACAGTGTTGTGTGTCCACAATGTACCATGTGTCAGTCAGGTCTCACAAAATACTTTAATGTTACAGTGTTGTGTGTCCACAATGTACCATGTGTCTGTCAGTCAGGTCTCACAAAATACTTTAATGTTACATTGGTGTGTGTCCACAATGTACCATGTGTCAGTCAGGTCTCACAAATACTTTAATGTTACAGTGGTGTGTGTCCACAATGTACCGTGTGTCAGTCAGGTCTCACAAATACTTTAATGTTACAGTGGTGTGTGTCCACAATGTACAAAGTGTCAGTCAGGTTTCACAAAATACTTTAATGTTACAGTGGTGTGTGTCCACAATGTACCATGTGTCTGTCAGTCAGTCAGGTCTCACAAATACTTTAATGTTACAGTGGTGTGTGTCCACAATGTACCATGTGTCAGTCAGGTCTCACAAATACTTTAATGTTACAGTGGTGTGTGTTCACAATGTACCATGTGTCAGTCAGGTCTCACAAATACTTTAATGTTACAGTGGTGTGTGTCCACAATGTACTATGTGTCAGTCAGGTCTCACAAAATACTTTAATGTTACAGTGGTGTGTGTCCACAATGTACCATGTGTCTGTCAGTCAGGTCTCACAAAATACTTTAATGTTACATTGGTGTGTGTCCACAATGTACCATGTGTCAGTCAGGTCTCACAAATACTTTAATGTTACAGTGGTGTGTGTCCACAATGTACCGTGTGTCAGTCAGGTCTCACAAATACTTTAATGTTACAGTGGTGTGTGTCCACAATGTACAAAGTGTCAGTCAGGTTTCACAAAATACTTTAATGTTACAGTGGTGTGTGTCCACAATGTACCATGTGTCTGTCAGTCAGTCAGGTCTCACAAATACTTTAATGTTACAGTGGTGTGTGTCCACAATGTACCATGTGTCAGTCAGGTCTCACAAATACTTTAATGTTACAGTGGTGTGTGTTCACAATGTACCATGTGTCAGTCAGGTCTCACAAATACTTTAATGTTACAGTGGTGTGTGTCCACAATGTACTATGTGTCAGTCAGGTCTCACAAAATACTTTAATGTTACAGTGGTGTGTGTCCACAATGTACCATGTGTCTGTCAGTCAGGTCTCACAAATACTTTAATGTTACAGTGGTGTGTGTCCGAGAAGGCGGGTACTGGCTTGCTTCCATGAGAAGGCGGGTACTGGCTTGCATCCACGAGAAGGCGGGTACTGTCTTGCATCCACGAGAAGGCGGGTACTGGCTTGCATCCACGAGAAGGCGGGTACTGGCTTGCATCCACGAGAAGGCGGGTACTAGCTTGCATCCACGAGTAGGCGGGTACTGGCTTGCATCCACGAGAAGGCGGGTACTGGCTTGCTTCCATGAGAAGGCGGGTACTGGCTTGCATCCACGAGAAGGCGGGTACTGGCTTGCATCCACGAGAAGGCGGGTACTGGCTTGCATCCATCAGAAAGCGGGTACTGGCTTGCATCCATGAGAAGGCGGGTACTGGCTTGCATCCACGAGAAGGCGGGTACTGCTTGCATCCACGAGAAGGCGGGTACTGGCTTGCATCCATCAGAAAGCGGGTACTGGCTTGCATCCACGAGAAGGCGGGTACTGGCTTGCTTCCATGAGAAGGCGAGTACTGCTTGCATCCACGAGAAGGCGGGTACTGGCTTGCATCCACGAGAAGGCGGGTACTGGCTTGCATCCACGAGAAAGCGGGTACTGGCTTGAATCCACGAGAAGGCGGGTACTGGCTTGCATCCACGAGAAGGCGGGTACTGACTTGCATCCATCAGAAGGCGGGTACTGACTTGCATCCATCAGAAGGCGGCCGGTACTGGCTTGCATCCATCAGAAAGCGGGTACTGGCTTGCATCCACGAGAAGGCGGGTACTGGCTTGCATCCACGAGAAGGCGGGTACTGGCTTGCATCCACGAGAAGGCGGGTACTGACTTGCATCCACGAGAAGGCGGGTACTGGCTTGCATCCACGAGAAGGCGGGTATTGGCTTGCATCCACGAGAAGGCGGGTACTGGCTTGCATCCATCAGAAAGCGGGTACTGGCTTGCATCCACGAGAAGGCGGGTACTGGCTTGCATCCACGAGAAGGCGGGTACTGTCTTGCATCCACGAGAAGGCGGGTACTGTCTTGCATCCACGAGAAGGCGGGTACTGGCTTGCATCCACGAGAAGACGGGTACTTGCTTGCATCCATCAGAAAGCGGGTACCGGCTTGCATCCACGAGAAGGCGAGTACTGGCTTGCTTCCATGAGAAGGCGGGTACTGGCTTGCATCCACGAGAAGGCGGGTACTGGCTTGCATTCACGAGAAGGCGGGTACTGGCTTGCATCCATCAGAAAGCGGGTACTGGCTTGCATCCACGAGAAGGCGGGTAGTGGCTTGCATCCATCAGAAGACGGGTACTGGCTTGTATCCACGAGAAGGCGGGTACTGGCTTGCATCCATCAGAAGACGGGTACTGGCTTGCATCCATCCTAATGGGGGTCATACCAAGTACTTATTCTGCTGCCATCGACGGCTGTGATGCACTGTTGACTTTATCGTGATCCCGTTTTGGTGCCCAATGTGAGTGTGATTGCATCTCACTCTCGTTATACTGAAGCTTAAGAGTTGGTTTTTGGCACGAAGAGCTCTAAATGGTCGGTGTTGACAAACAGCTGATATCATCTGAAAACGTTTTGTTGATTTTTATTTGTAAAGACAATGTCATGATGTGCACTTTCTTTTGTACTTCAGATCACATATCGTCTGTATGTCATCTTTAATGCTGCAGCGTCGTGTGCATACATAAAACCAAGTGTTTATCTTCTACAATGTACCAGTAGTTCGTGTACGCTATTCACCACGTGTCCATATTATTTAGTGGTACATGTTACAAAATTGCCGGGCGAAAGAAAGTATACACTTGAAAATTGGATTTGACAAAAAGTTACCCAAATATCAAAACGTTACTAGGCTGAAAACAGTCCGCGAAGCATTGCACATTTAAGATCCAAACTACGACTATTATACCCGAATCAAATACATCACCACCGATAACCATTACTTGATTGTTTAGTTTCAGCCACCATCAAACATGGGTGTCTACTTTCCTTTGCCCGGCAGTTTATGTGTTCTCATGTTTTGTAATTTGCATCATCGTACAGTAACTACGGCAATAGGGTCCCGATTCTCTGTGAGTGCTGTGTTTCCTCTGATAAACTTCGCACATTGTAAACACTTGATGGTTGCCATGAAAAAACCATCAGATATGCATAAGATTGATATAAGGAAATATCTAAATACCATCAGTTTTGCTGGTTAACCTGGAGGAAATATGCGTTGGCAGTCAAATCTAATCAGCCATCATTGGCTAGAGTAGAGGTGTGTATGGGCGTTCAATACACCTTTTACTTAAGAAAAGTTACATTAATTGTAGCTCACCTGAGTAGGGCGAGTTGTAGCCTTGTCTGGCCTGCACGGGGTTTAGGTAGTCTGCTGTTAAAAAAAAAGAAAGAGAAAAAAAACCAATTGAATAATTAATGTTAATACGTCAGCGCCAGAGTTTAACTATTCTCCATCATCCGCCGATTGTTCCATTGGCGTAAAAGGCAAAATAGCGATGAAAATGAACGGATTACTGAAAATCAGTGATGACACCAGGTTTCGTGAGAAGAGTAAGCATGTCCTGCCCTACCTTATCACCCATAAGTGAGTGAGTGAGTTTGGTTTAACGCCGCTTTTAATAGTTTTCGAGTTATATCACGGCGTGTCAGCTTAATGTGGGAGGAAAGCCCGAAGTGATGAAGGTTTCAGACGTTTACCACTTCGGTGAAACCCACGAGCACGGGTATGGTGCTGACAAACCTAGAAACATAATTGGGGCGAACCGGGATTCGAACCCACAATTTAATGGTTTCTGGCGTGCCCAAGTGACGCAATTCTGCACAGCGAATCGCGGCGCCTTAGACGACTGGGCCACCCGTGCCCCCACCCATAAGTCACAAAAACTGAATAAACAAACATTCCGTCCGCATAGTTTTAATCACTGGTTGGTTCGTTCGGGGACACACAATACACAACGCATGTGCTTTTCATCCAAAACTTCAACGCCAGAGAATATTCAGTCTCCACTATCCGCCGAAACATATGCCTTACAGCATAAAAGGCAAAGTAGTGATACAAATTATACGAATGGATCACTGCAAAATAAGTGATGACACCAGGTGTTCGCGAAATGGGTAAGCATGTCCTGCTCTACCCGTATCGCCACCACTCACATTTATTATTACAAAACCTAGTGCCAGTGAGTAAGTGAGTGAGTTGGGTTTATCGCCGCTTTTAACAGTATTCCAGTTATATCACGGCGTGTCACCTTAATGTGGGAGGAAAGCCCGAAGTGATGCAAGTCTCAGACGTTTACCACTTCGGTGAAACCCACGAGAACGGGTATGGTGCTGACAAACCTAGAAACATAATCGGGGCGAACCGGGATTCGAACCCACAATCATAGGTTTCTGACGTGCCCCAGGGACGCAACTCTGCACAGCGAATCGCAGAGCCTTAGACAACTGGGCCAACCGTGCCCCCAAGGACGTGTGAAAGCTGTGTTCAGGACATAGCATGGGTAGCATCGGGATGGCATGGGATATCATCGTATCAGGCCATCGGATTACCAGTACATTACCAGCCTGGTTCCCTGGGTATGCTGCGCTGACGCTACCAGGTACACCATTCATAATCACCTTGACTGGACATATCCGTGTAGGGCGTCCCCTCATCAGGAGGGGGCCGGAGAGGGGGCTGGGGGCCGCTGGTCACTGCAATGAGACGATTTCAAAATGCGAGCTTCTCTTGGAATTATTATCGTGACAGGTTGCGCATTATTTGGGAGAAATTAGCTTTTATGTGATTAGCGATTTATAAAACAAATTCTGTTCTGGAATGGCCTTATCGAAAAAAAATATGAATAAAAATATATGCTTCACACTGTTGAAAAAAAAAAATTGTCAGCCACTAAACATACATTGTTGCAAGGTGGGTATTACGATTTTAGGCTCTTAGTGTTATAAATATATAAATACACACACAATAACACCTCCCAGGATATCAAATGGTCGGTCCCCGAGGACCCACTTCACCTACCCGGGTTATTCATAGGTAAGTAGGGGTTTCTACTCTGCTCCGTCAAGGCAGGCTCGGAAGGTCGACGGTTGTCACTGCGAACCACACCTGAAACATAATGCTTTGTGTTAATACATGATATATTGCATGGCATATAATGTGTGTCATCCTTATTAGTAGGTGTCATTAGCGGTAACTAATAATCTTCATCATTCGACAAATCAGAAAAAAAATATTAGATTGTCGTAATCGCTTAGATTTAAAATGTCACGTTCAATTTTATCATTTTTGTATCGCTTTTATTTCCTCATCTCATATTTCCCCAGTTACATCTCATTATTCCGGACCTACGGGACCGATCATTTCATATTCTGGGAATTTGTATCGAGATTAGACATCTTTTCAGTTAAAATAACGCGATCTTTTTTTTATTTAAAACTATGAACCTGAATTGTTTTAAGAAAAACAATGCAATTTTTGTGGCAGGCAAAGCATAATTATATTCTTCAAGCATTTTCGAGGACAATTTATTTTTTTCGATAATATCTCACCCCCACCCACCGAAAATAAAATGGTCGGTCCCTAAACGAGTCCGGAAAAAACAGATTTTACTTATTTTAGAAAAAAACCTTCAGTACTCCGGACTTAACTGAGTCCGGACACCTTGTTACTCCGGACAGTTACCGCTAGGAACTCCTACACGTATACATGAGTGAGTGAGTGAGCTGGGGTTTGCGCTGCTGTGAACATTATTTGAGTTATATCACGGCGGGTCAGCTTGATGTGAGAGGAAGCCCCGAAGTGATACAGAGATGAATCATTGACCACTTTGTTGAAACCCACGAGCAGGGGAATGGTGCTGACTTCGAAACATAATCAGGTCAAATCTGGGATTTGAACCAATATCAAGGGACGCAAATCTGCACAGGGAATCACGGCGCCTCAGACGACAAGCCCACGATGCTTCCGTATACATTTGTGACACTACACCAATCTCATTAAAATCAGATCTTAGTTCTCGCTATCGCTGAACAAAGCTCTGAGGACATCCCATTAGGGGTCACGTCAGAATGACCTTTCATCCGACCAATCAAAGCGTCACTTACCAGATCATGAAAGTGACAGTCGGAATGTGTTTTCTAATCACGCAACCTCGAAACGTTAACACGGGGTATTCCGAACGACAGTTTGGCCCGCACGACTGATTCCGTCGAAATTATCGTCTATCTCTCGCTTCCGTGGGTGACCATTTGAACGGAGGAGGCACAGTACGTGGGAAGCACTGCCATACAATCTCAACCATATATTAGACATTCCGGATTGTTTGTTTTTTCAGTTTTCAAAATTTTAATCGAGAACTATGTCAACTTATTTTTCATGCGTAGTCTGAAATGGAAGTCGCCAGGTTGAAACGAGTGCCGTAAAGCTCGAGAAAGCTGCTTTCTAATTGGCTGATGTCGACTTCTTGTTAGTCATTTCAATGGTCGGTCAAAGTTCGCGAAAGGTCGGTCTGACGTGACCCGTAATGGAATGTCCTCAGATCTTTGTTTAGCGACAGCGAGAACTTAGATCTGATTTAAATGAGATTGTACACTACACTCGAATTTATTTTTAGTCGTCTAAGGCGCCGCAATTACCTGTGCAGATTTGCGTCCCTTGGACACGCCAGAAACCTATAATTGGTGGTTCGAATCCCGGTTCACCAGGATAATGTTTCAAGGTTTGTCAGTAGCATAACCGTGCTCGTGAGTTTCGCCGAAGTGGTAAACGTCTGAGACCTGCATCACTTTGGGCTTTCCTCCCACATTAAGCTGACACGCCGTGATATAACTGGAATAATGTTAAAAGCGGCGTTAAACCCAACTCACTCACTCACTATGTTTTGTCAAATTATCCACTATGTAACCCCCCTTATTATGTTGTGAACTGCTTACCATGTGAGTGGATGAAGCCCTGGCTGACTCTGCGTTTAGGAAGATCGCGGCCATTGGTGGACTGTCCTCTGGTCAAGGTGGAAGTGTTTCTCTCCGGCAAATATGGTGGGAGTGCCGGTTCAGACATGAACCGCTGTCGGTGATGGGCAGGCGGTTGCATAGGCCCTTCAAATGAAACAAGAGTGTCAGTGTGTCCTCATGAAATGTATTCACTATCAACAACAGCACGGGGTTGGTAGCAGTGATGGGACTTTAAGAATCAGGAGACAAATAGAGCCACCTTGCTCTGTAGTTCACTTAAATCGTGATGGAATAATTGCAATTTTAGACCGTAAAGGGCATAATGCATGGTCAAACTAGAATATGCGAACATAACAAAAATAGAGATTTCTACACAAGTTACGGAACGACATGGATACTGCATTGGAAAAATACATATATAAATAACGTGGTATTACATTTACATTTGTAAGGGCTTATTGCACTTATGTTGCAATTAGATAACGACGTGTGTGTTCGTGTGTGTGTGCGTGCGTGCGCGCGCGCTCATGCGTGTGTTTGTGTGTGTGTGCGTGTGTGTGTGTGTGCGTGCGTGCGTGCGTGCGTGTGTGTGTGTTTGTACAATTCCGGACCAATGTCTGTTTTATAGAACTCGCCCACTGAGTGAGTGAGTGAGTATGGTTTTACGCCGCTTTTAGCAATATTCCAGCAATATCACGGCGGGGCACACAATAAATGGGCTTCACACATTGTACCCATGTCGGGAATCGAACCCGGGTCTTCGGCGTGACGAGCGAACGCTTTAACCACTAGGCTACCCGACCGCCCCACTAGCCCACTGAGTCACAGTTCAACATGGCGTCCCCACTCAGCCACATTATATTGGCTCAGAGCAGGAGCAGTCTTTGTTTTATCTCCTCAAAGCCAACCAAAGACCTTCCGGTCTCCGGGAAGACGCTCTGTTCACTGGGATAATTGTAGGGAATGGCAGGACAGCGTCGTCTGGCTGATACGGCGACCATGTTTCAAATGGAATCAAAATTTATCCAGGTTTTATTTTCGAATTCATTAGTGTTTAGGGATTATGTCGAACATGTGAACGTTTAGTTCAAACGGATTGGGAGGCCAAAAGATAAGGAGGTCGCTTGAAGTTCAGGTGAGCTAAAATTACACTTGCTACTATATACGTACCTGGAGAGTAGAGATTGTTCGCAGTAGGATCACTGCCACCTGAAAAACACAATGTCGAAACAGCTCAGACTCCTCCACATCCTAACTGACTCCACATCCTGCCTGTCACAATGTTCTGACCGATTCCACCTCCTGACTGACTCGACTCAATGACTCCACACCCTTCCTCTAACTCCTGACTGACTCGACTCAATGACCATACACCCTTCCTCTAACTCCTGACTGACTCGACTCAATGACTCCACACCCTTGCTCTACATCCTGACTGACTCGACTCAATGACTCCACACCCTTTCTCTACATCCTGACTGACTCGACTCAATAACTCCACACCCTTGCTCTACATCCTGACTGACTCCACTCAATGACTCCACACCCTTCCTCTAACTCCTGACTGACTCGACTCAATGACTCCACACCCTTGCTCTACATCCTGACTGACTCGACTCAATGACTCCACCCCCTTGCTCTACATCCTCACTGACTCGACTCAGTGACTCCACACCCATACTCCACATCCTGGCTGTCACAACGTTCTGACCTATTCCTTCTCCTGACTGACTCGACTCAATGACTCCACACCCTTGCTCTACATCCTGACTGACTCGACTCAATGACTCCACACCCTTGCTCTACATCCTGACTGACTCGACTCAATGACTCCACACCCTTGCTCTACATCCTGACTGACTCCACTCAATGACTCCACACCCTTGCTCTAACTCCTGACTGACTCGACTCAATGACTCCACACCCTTGCTCTACATCCTGACTGACTCGACTCAATGACTCCACACCCTTGCTCTACATCCTGACTGACTCGATTCAATGACTCCACCCCCTTGCTCTACATCCTCACTGACTCGACTCAGTGACTCCACACCCATACTCCACATCCTGGCTGTCACAACGTTCTGACCTATTCCTTCTCCTGACTGACTCGACTCTATGGCTCCACACCCTTGCTCTACATCCTGACTGACTCGACTCTATGGCTCCACTCCCTTTCTCTACATCCTGAATGACTCGACTCAATGACTCAACACCCTTGCTCTACATCCTGACTGACTCCACTCAATGACTCAACACCCTTGCTCTACATCCTGAATGACTCGACTCTATGGCTCCACTCCCTTTCTCTACATCCTGACTGACTCCACTCAATGACTCCACACCCTTTCTCTACATCCTGACTGATTCGGCTCAATGACTCCACACCCTTGCTCTAAAACCTCACTGACTCGACTCAGTGACTCCACACCCTTTCTCTACATCCTGACTGACTCGACTCAATGACTCCACACCCTTGCTCTTCATCCTGACTTACTCGACTCAATGACTCCACACCCTTGCTCTACATCCTGACTGACTCGACTCAATGACTCCACACCCTTGCTCCATATCCTGACTGACTCCACTCAATGACTCCACACCCTTACTCCACATCCTGGCTGTCACAACGTTCTGACCTGTTCCTTCTCCTGACTGACTCGACTCAATGACTCCACACCCTTTCTCTACATCCTGACTGACTCGACTCAATGACCCCACACCCTTACTCCACATCCTGGCTGTCACAACGTTCTGACCTATTCCTTCTCCTGACTGACTCGACTCAATGACTCCACACCCTTGCTCTACATCCTCACTGACTCGACTCAATGACTCCACACCCTTGCTCTACATCCTGACTGACTCCACTCAATGACCCCACACCCTTGCTCTACATCCTGACTGACTCGACTCAATGACTCCACACCCTTGCTCTACATCCTGACTGACTCGACTCAATGACTCCACACCCTTGCTCTGCATCCTGACTGACTCCACTCAATGACCCCACACCCTTGCTCTACATCCTGACTGACCCCACTCAATGACTCCACACCCTTTCTCTTCATCCTGACTGACTCGACTCAATGACTCCACACCTTTGCTCTACATCCTGACTGACTCCACTCAATGACTCCACACTGTTAGTCCACATCCTAACTTCACACCCAACGATACAAACCATACTTACTGAATTTGAATTGACACATCTGACTGACCGATCAGAATCGTATATTCCCCAAAACTATATTCATGACCGACCACCTACCTGGCCTGGATAAGGTGTTGTTCATGCCCCTGGCCTGGTCGTCGAGCTTGGTGAGGATGTTGTAGGAGTGGGCCGACTGACACATGATGAATCCCTCCCCCACCGGGCTGCTCCTGTAGCAACATACACAACATGTGCGTTACTCCAACAAGGTGTCCACTCTACAGGGTGTCCACACTACCGGGTGTATACACTACAGGGTATCCACAGTACAGGGTGTCCATACTACAGGGTGTTTGCACAACAGGGTTTCCACACTACAGGTTGTCCATACTACAGCTTGTCTACACTACCGGGTGTCCGCACTACAGGGTGCCCACACTACAGGGTTTCTACACTACAGGGTATCTACACTACAGAGTGTCTACATCTACACAACAGAGTGTCTTCACTACAGGGTGTCCACATTACATGGCGCCTATACAACATCGTGCCCCCACTACAGGGTATCTACACTACAGGGTGTCTACTCTACAGGGTATCCACACTACAGGGTATCTATATGACATGGTGTCTACAGTACAGGGTGTCCACACTACAGGGTGTCTAAACTACAGGGTATCTACATTACATGGTGTCTACACTACAGGGTGTCCACACTACAGGGTGTCTAAACGACAGGGTATCTACATTACAGGGTGTCTACACTACAGAGTGTCCACACTACAGGGTGTCAACACTACAAGGTGTCTACACTACAGGGTATCCACATTACATGATGTATACACTACAGGATGTCCACACTACAGGGTGTCAACACAACAGGGTGTCAACACTACAGGTTATCTACATTACAGGGTATCTACACTACAAGGTGCCTACTCTACAGGGTATCCACACTACAGGGTATCTACATTACATGGTGTCTACACTACAGGGTGTCCACACTACAGGGTGTCTAAACGACAGGGTATCTACATTACAGGGTGTCTTCACTACAGAGTGTCCACACTACAGGGTGTCAACACTACAAGGTGTCTACACTACAGGGTATCCACATTACATGATGTATACACTACAGGATGTCCACACTACAGGGTGTCAACACAACAGGGTGTCAACACTACAGGTTATCTACATTACAGGGTATCTACACTACAAGGTGTCTACACTACAGGGTATCCACATTACATGATGTCTACACTACGGGGTGTCCACACTACAGGGTGTCTAAACTACAGGGTATCTACACTACAGGGTGCCTACTCTACAGGGAATCCACACTACAGGGTATCTACATTACATAGTGTCTACACTACAGGGTGTCCACACTACATGGTGTCTAAACTACAGGGTATCTACATTACAGGGTGTCTAAACTACAGAGTGTCAACACTACAGGGTGTCTACACTACAGGGTATCCACATTACAAGATGTCTACACTACAGGGTGTCAACACTACAGGTTATCTACATTACAGGGTATCTACACTACAGGGTGTCTACACTACAGGGTATCCACATTACATGATGTCTACACTACAGGGTGTCCACACTACAGGGTGTCAACACAACAGGGTGTCTAGAATACAGGGTATCTACATTATAGGGTGTCCACACTACAGGGTGCCTACACTGCAGGGTTTCTACGCCACAAACTACACGGTGCCAACACCACAGACAACAGAGCATCTAGTACTATTTACACCATATACTACAGGGTATCAATACTACGGACTATTATACAGAGTATCTACACCACGGGATGTCTATGCCACAAACTCACTCCACCCCACCTCACTCCATCCCAACCCCTACTCCCTACCAACGTTCACAAGCAGTGTTAACAGCAACGTTTTAAACAGGTCTCCATAGTAAATGTCGTGATGAATAATCTGCCTCTTTTTCAGATAATAAAAGAAAACGATCTTATAAAAAATATTAGACTAACATCTAGTCTCTGAAATGAACATATCGTACATAAAAAAACAGTTGTTCAGTTATCTTAATAAAAATATAATAAAAAGGAGCCCAGTGACTCTCTTCATTTCCTGATACTGCAGTGATCTAGACTTGCCAAACATTATAGACTTGCATTGGCTGTATTTGATATATATTTGTATCAGGGTCTGTAAGACAGACTAAATTCATTCAGCGGTGATGTCATTTAAAATAATAATAAACCGGCCACAGTCTGCTCACATTTGACGAAAGTATCTTACGAAAAGTTGATTGATTAATCGTAAGCTGACTAGTATGTTAAATAGCACCTATGAGACGAGTGCAGATAAGCATGGCGGAAGTCTGGTGACTCTGTACATCTGTACCCACCTCCCGGTTTCAATCCAGAACATCAAATCTCTTTCTTCCTGTTTGTATTTGCGGATTGTCGTCAGAGGTATTTTAGCCAGGATTTCGTCTCCCTGAATAATTGTCAGGTGACCATCGGCGATGTAAAGATTGACCTCGCCGTGAAAGTTGGTATGCGGTGCATTGATGATGCATGCTGGAAACATGTCTGTAAAAATATGTAACGGTTGAGGTTGGGGTGATGAGGACGATAATGTCGATAATAATGATAAAGATAACGATATTAAAATCGATAATAATACTAACACCAGTAACAGCTGCTACTACTACTACTACTACTACTACTACTACTACTACTACTTCTAACCCGTGAAGATCCGGGGTAAAATAGGTCTTCAGCAACCCATGCTTGTCGTATGAGGCGACTATGCTCGTCGTTTGAGACGACTAACGAGATCGGGTGGTCAGACTCGCTGACTTGGTTGATGCATGTCATCGTATTACAATTCCGTGGCAAGGGCGACTGCAGGAATTGCAAAGCATGTGTACCGCCAACTGGGCGTCGACAGATATTTTGCAAATCTTTTCATGTTTATAATCAAGATGCTCAAGTGATTTGATGCACTTCGCGGGGTAAGACCCGTTTTATTACAATGTAGATCTTGATTATCGATCAAATCATTTTGACAGGGCGCCGCCATTGTGTTAAAAGAAAATACAAGTGACACGAGTTATGGAATCTGATTGGTCAATAGGAAGGACATAGAAGGGACATAATTCGTAATAGCCACTGGTGACTCTACGATCGAACCCAGAAATTCCAGCCTTGTTCGGCAAGAGTGGGAACTGGAATTTTATAGTCAGTTAACGCCCTTGCCTCGGGGGATGATACGAAAGGAAGACTAATGATTTGAATGAAGCTATCGTGTTTTGGGGTGCACAACGTGTTCATACACGTGAAGATTCCGGGGTAGAATAGGTCTTCAGCAACCCATTATACTTGCCGTAAAAGGCGACTATGTTTGTCGTAAAAGGCGACTAACGGGATAGGTTACTTGACTTGGTTGATACATGTCATCCATCCCAATTGCGTGGGTCGATGCTCATCATGTCAATCACTGGATTGTCTGGTCCAGACTCGAATACTTACAGACCTCCGTTTTATAGCTGGAATATTGCTGAGTGCGGCGTTAAACAACAAACAAAAAACAAAACTACCATAACTACTACTACTTCTACTACTACTACTACTGATGATTATGACGATTATGATGATGAGGACGACGACGACGACGACGACGACGAAGAAGACGATGATGATGATGATGATGGCGACTTTACCTAACTGCAATCTATTAAAGGTGTCTCGGCACAGGCATAACGATGTGGAGTATTCCTAGGCTAGTTAGATTTCAATTTCTTCACGGTTTTGGCGAGACCCCAGTAATGACGGGCGATAGAAACTTACCAATCTTTTTCTCAACTTCTCTCTGTAGACACGACAGCCATTCTTTCGCTCCCGCCTCTGTAAATGTACATACATGTGAGTACAGACACTTGCCTTTATGTAAAATCTAATTAACATCGTCATTCAACATAGCAAATTTTATTCAAAAGATACAACTGGCTAAAAATAAAAATGATGTGAACTACGCGATTTAAATGAAACACAACTGCATACCAGACACATGTGATAATATTAAGTCAGGATATTGAGCAAAAATGTCCAAAATATGTTTTTATTCAAAATTAAACAATAATTGCTGTATCTATGGAAAAAATTATTTTAGATATATCTTTTTATTATTTAAAATTGAAAACTTGAAAACTGATATTTTGTTGTTGAAAACATATTTAAATAAAATTATGTACTTACCCGAATCACAGTGCCCTATATTTGAATGTATATAGTCATACTTACTTGAGTCTACCCGTGAAGATCCGGGGTAGAATAGGTCTTCAGCAACCCATGCTTACCTTTAAAGGCGATTATGCTTGTCGTAACGAGATCGGGCGGTCAGGCTCGCTGACTTGGTTGATGCATGTCATCGTATCCTAACTGCGTGGATCGATGCTTATGATGTCAATCACTGGATTGCCAGGTCCAGATTCTATTATAGACAGACCGCCGTCATATAGCGTGAACATTGCTGAGTGCGGCGTAAACCACGAAAAAACAAACAAACAAACAAACAAACAAACTTACCCGAATCACAGGTGAAGTTGATTTCCTTACATTGTTCAGTCCTGAGGGCGATATGAACGCCTTTCGGTCTTCCGGGCAGTCGCTCGACATTTAGAATGTCGTTGATGTAGTACTCATGCCTCGGCTTCCCTCTCGTTGCGTCCTTCTCGTCCAGGTATTTAATAAGGCGGGCGGGAGATCTAGTTGTGTTCTCGTGAAGCACAAACCATCGCTTCGACCATTTCTGTCAGCATAGAGTTACTGTTCTAAATACAGTAAACTACGGTTATAACGAACTCAAAGGGACTACTTATTTTAGTTCGTTATAACCGTAATTCGTTATAAGCATATATACAGCATAACTACAGCATATAGTCGGGACTAAAACGTTTGTTCGTTATATCCGTTAGTTCGTTATAAGCCTGTTCGTTATAACCGTATTTAACTGTATCTGTATTACCAGATGAGCGTTTATTAAGGCGATATTTGACGCCGAATCGGTTATTTCATGCTCAATGAAATAATAACATTGATTCAGAATATGAAGGAGGATTTTCATGAACGACACTCGACGCCGAATCGGTTATTCCACGCACAATAAAGCAATGATGTTAATTTAGAATATAAAAGAGGGCTATTAAACTTTTGTTTGTTTGTTTGTTTTTTAACGCCGCACTCAGCAATATTCCAGCTATATGACGGCGGTCTGTAAATAATCAAGTCTGGACCAGACAATCCAGTGATTGACATCATGAACATCGATCCCCGCCATTGGGATCGATGACATGCATCAACCAAGTCAGCGAGCCTGACCACCCGATCCCGTTAGTCGCCTCTTACGACAAACATAGTCTCCTTTTACGACAAGCATGGGTTGCTTAAGACCTAGTCTACCCCGGATTTTCACGGGTCCGGCTATTAAACTAGTGGACATTTGACTGGACAGCGACATGATGACGTCATGTGCGCCCTGCCGTTCAATTCAGTAGAAGATGCAAGATGACAGTACCAGACCACATTGTGCCCAGCTCGTCACCGATTATCTCCGACGAAAAGGCATACGGACATTGGACATGTCCCCAAACTACTAGTATTCAACGCTGAACATGTTACTGTTATGTAACAGACATGAAACGTGTAAATTGTCATGTAAGCCTAATCCTATATGCATTGGCATTGATACAAAATGAATAACACGGTGTTTTGATATGTATACCTTGTACTATTTAGGGACCATTTTCAACACATATCAAAATAAATAGAAACGTTCTCTGTGTACGGAGACTTACCGGGGCCAAAAGCAAACTACATCAGTTTTTTAATACATACCTCTATGAACCGAAATAAATACACAGTCAATCCTTAAATAAATGAATAAATACAAACGCCTGCCTATTCTGGGTTAGTAAAACATGAATTTTCCCAATTTAGCAAATTTTTAAGTGAATGCTTTCTTTTTCCCAGAAGTTTATGTTTAAAATGGTGTTATATAACTCCTGAATCAAATTTAGTCTCGCAACAGCACAGTACCTTGATGTGTCTGCTTTGGGAATGTACATAGCCGACTTTGACAATATCAGATACTTCATTTAGCGACGCCATTCAGGTGCATCTTGCCTCCTAAGATTAAAGGTCACTTTGTCAGCGTCTGAAAATAAAAACAGCAACATCTGAATAAGTATTCGGCGAAACCTCACCAATCCATGACGTGCCTTTCCCTGTAAAATTGACCAGATTAACAACTGAAGGATGTAACGATTTACGCGCATGAAGAATTGTCCCTAAACTGATTCCACTGTTTGTTCGCGCAGCATGTTAAGTGCGTATAACTGTATTCGTGTACGTAGATGTCAATAACACCCTTTTTTTAAAATGTATTTTTGTGACTTTCAGCGTTTAGAAGGCGGGGTTTTCAGTTGACTGGGCTCCTGTCTACCTTAACTACTAGCGCTTAGTTTGTGGCGCGCACCAACTGTGGAACCAGTTTAGGTTTACATAGTAACGGTGTCCGTGCTATCGGGGTTTCACTGTACACAACTGAAACCCAGATGATAACCATGGGTTGAGTGCGGAAAATGGAACCTGCTGAAGCAGTGATGCTGGTGTAAAATCGAGGACAGGTGACCTGGCCAGGCACGACGTAATAAAATCTGGGGCAGATTACCGTCAACTTTATATTCAAACAAATAAGAATGTAAACACGGTCCTTGACTCAGCCTTGGCAAAAAATAGGCGATTTCAACTTTGTAAAACACACTTATACATGAGTTGGTTTCGAGTTAAGGTGACCATTAAAATAGGTCGCTGTTCTTGTCCTCGGCCTATGGGTTTATGACAAAGCTGTGTAACTGTCTCTATTTAGCTGTAATGTACAGGAACGAAACACAACACAAGCGATCATGGCCGCAATCAGGTCGCCGCGTCCCTTTCACGGCTTTTTGAAGCTTCAATGTAACAGAACACCCGCGATCATTGCCATCTGATACGTTTAGGTCTTTCTAAAGGTAAATCGTATTTGTCTAGAGGTAGAACTGGATAGTCAATTCAACAAACAACGTGGTATCTCCATGTCCATATTACATACGCGTGTATGTCTACCATCTTCCCGAGGCAAGAGAGTTAACTGACTTTAAAAATTTAGTTTCCACCCTTGCCGAATTCCTGGGCTCGACCGTAGCGCCACCAGTGGTTATTATGAATAATGTCCGTTCGTTTCAAACAAAATAGCGGCGCCCAGTCAAGACGATCTGATCGATAATCAAGATCTATACTGTGATAAAACGGGTCTTCCATCGCGAAGAACATCAAATCACGCGAGCACATTAATTAAAAAACAAGAAAAGGTTTGGAAAATATCTGTTGACAACGAGTTGGCGGTGCACATGTTTTGCAAATCCTGCAATCGACCGAAATCTGCACGGCAGTTTACGAACCGGATTTCGATTTCGTTGCGAGATTTTGATTGGACTATGCATAGACTCGTTAGTCCAGCCAAAATGTAACTCCATAATCTCAGCCTAGTTCGGCAAGGATGGAAACTGGACTTTTATAGTCAGTTAACGCTCTTGCCTCGGGAAGATGATGTCTACTGAATCATGACGTCATGACGTCTGCCCTTATGTTTGTAAGGCGGCTGTCTATCTGTCTGGCGTCTGTCTATATACATTACATTTGTCTACCTGCCTTTGTGACGTCTGTCTACCTGTCTGCATGGCGTCTGTCTACATATCTGTCTGACGACTGCCTATCTGTCTGACGACTGCCTGTCTGTCCGACATATGCCTATCTGTCTGACGACTGCTTATCGATCTGACGTATGCCTATCTGTCTGACGTATGCCTATCGGTCTGACGTATGCCTATCGGTCTGTCTGTCTATCTGTCTGACGTATGCCTATCTGTCTGACGATTGCCTATCTGTCTGACGTGTGCCTGTCTGTCTGACGACTGCCTTTCTGTCTAACAACTGCCTATCTGTCTGACGTATTGTCTGACGACTGATAATCTGTCTGACGTAAGCCTATCTGCCTTATATCTTCCTACCTGTCTGTATGACATGTGTATGTGTATGTATGACATGTGTATCTGTCTGTATGACATGTGTATCTGTCTGTATGACATGTGTATCTGTCTGTATGACATGTCTATGTGTCTCTATGACATGTGTATGTGTCTGTATGACATGTGTATGTGTCTGTATGACATGTCTATGTGTCTGTATGACATGTCTATGTGACTGTATGACATGTGTATGTGTCTGTATGACACGTGTATCTGTCTGTATGACATGTGTATCTGTCTGTATGACATGTCTATGTGTCTGTATGACATGTCTATGTGTCTGTATGACATGTGTATGTGTCTGTATGACATGTGTATCTGTCTGTATGACATGTCTATGTGTCTGTATGACATGTGTATCTGTCTGTATGACATGTGTATCTGTCTGTATGACATGTGTATCTGTCTGTATGACATGTGTACCTGTCTGTATGACATGTGTATGTGTCTGTATGACATGTGTATCTGTCTGTATGACATGTGTATCTGTCTGTATGACATGTGTATCTGTCTGTATGACATGTGTATCTGTCTGTATGACTTGTGTATCTGTCTGTATGATATGTGTATGTGTCTGTATGACATGTGTATCTGTCTGTATGACATGTGTATCTGTCTGTATGACATGTGTATCTGTCTGTATGACATGTGTATCTGTCTGTATGACTTGTGTATCTGTCTGTATGATATGTGTATGTGTCTGTATGACATGTGTATCTGTCTGTATGACATGTGTATCTGTCTGTATGACATGTGTATCTGTCTGTATGACATGTGTATCTGTCTGTATGACATGTGTATCTGTCTGTATGACATGTGTATCTGTCTGTATGACATGTCTATCTGTCTGTATGACTTGTGTATCTGTCTGTATGACATGTGTATCTGTCTGTATGACATGTGTATCTGTCTGTATGACATGTGTATCTGTCTGTATGACATGTGTATGTGTCTGTATGACATGTGTATGTGTCTGTATGACATGTCTATGTTTCTGTAGGACATGTGTATCTGTCTGTATGACATGTGTATCTGTCTATATGACATATGTATGTGTCTGTATGACATGTCTATGTGTCTGTATGACATGTGTATCTGTCTGTATGACATGTGTATCTGTCTGTATGACATGTGTATCTGTCTGTATGACATGTGTATCTGTCTGTATGGCATGTGTATCCGTCTATATGACACGTGTATCTGTCTGTATCACATGTGTATGTGTCTGTATGACATGTGTATGTGTCTGTATGACATGTGTATGTGTCTGTATGACACGTGTATCTGTCTGTATGACATGTGTATGTGTCTGTATGACATGTGTATGTGTCTGTATGACATGTGTATGTGTCTGTATGACACGTGTATCTGTCTGTATGACACGTGTATCTGTCTGTATGACATGTCTATGTGTCTGTAGGACATGTGTATCTGTCTGTATGACATGTGTATCCGTCTATATGACATATGTATGTGTCTGTATGACATGTCTATGTGTCTGTATGACATGTGTATCTGTCTGTATGACATGTGTATCTGTCTGTATGACATATGTATCTGTCTGTATGACATGTGTATGTGTCTGTATGACATGTGTATCTGTCTCTATGACATGTGTATCTGTCTGTATGACATGTCTATGTGTCTGTATGACATGTGTATCTGTCTGTATGACATGTGTATCTGTCTGTATGACATATGTATCTGTCTGTATGACATGTGTATGTGTCTGTATGACATGTGTATCTGTCTCTATGACATGTGTATCTGTCTGTATGACATGTGTATCTGTCTGTATGACATGTGTATGTGTCTGTATGACATGTGTATGTGTCTGTATGACATGTGTATGTGTCTGTATGACATGTGTATGTGTCTGTATGACATGTCTATCTGTCTGTATGACATGTGTATGTGTCTGTATGACATATGTATCTGTCTGTATGACATGTGTATCTGTCTGTATGACATGTCTATGTGTCTGTATGACATGTCTATATGTCTGTATGACATGTGTATCTGTCTGTATGACATCTGTATCTGTCTGTATGACATCTGTATCTGTCTGTATGACATGTCTATGTGTCTGTATGACATGTGTTTGTGTCTGTATGACATGTGTATCTGTCTGTATGACACGTGTATCTGTCTGTATGACATCTGTATCTGTCTGTATGACATGTGTATCTGTCTGTATGACATCTGTATCTGTCTGTATGACATGTGTATCTGTCTGTATGACATGTGTATGTGTCTGTATGACATGTGTATCTGTCTGTATGACATGTGTATCTATCTGTATGACATGTGTATGTGTCTGTATGACATGTGTAACTGTCTGTATGACATGTCTATGTGTCTGTATGACATGTCTATGTGTCTGTATGACATGTGTATCTGTCTGTATGACATGTCTATGTGTCTGTATGACATGTGTAACTGTCTGTATGACATGTCTATGTGTCTGTATGACATGTCTATGTGTCTGTATGACATGTGTATCTGTCTGTATGACATGTGTATCTGTCTGTATGACATATGTATCTGTCTGTATGACATGTGTATGTGTCTGTATGACATGTGTATCTGTCTCTATGACATGTGTATCTGTCTGTATGACATGTCTATGTGTCTGTATGACATGTGTATCTGTCTGTATGACATGTGTATCTGTCTGTATGACATATGTATCTGTCTGTATGACATGTGTATGTGTCTGTATGACATGTGTATCTGTCTCTATGACATGTGTATCTGTCTGTATGACATGTGTATCTGTCTGTATGACATGTGTATGTGTCTGTATGACATGTGTATGTGTCTGTATGACATGTGTATCTGTCTGTATGACATGTGTATGTGTCTGTATGACATGTGTATGTGTCTGTATGACATGTGTATGTGTCTGTATGACATGTGTATGTGTCTGTATGACATGTGTATGTGTCTGTATGACATATGTATCTGTCTGTATGACATGTGTATCTGTCTGTATGACATGTCTATGTGTCTGTATGACATGTCTATATGTCTGTATGACATGTGTATCTGTCTGTATGACATCTGTATCTGTCTGTATGACATCTGT